AGATTTTCTGAATTTTTTCACTGAACATTCTTCTCATAAGTCTTTTCTGCACGTAAGTGCACTCTTTGTGCAGAACTGTAAGATATAGTGGGGAAGGAGTGATTCTTGTTTGAAAAATAACATGTGACTCAATTGAGGAATGCAGAAAATTTCCCATCATTCATGCACCCTGACTTTATTCACTGACATTATAACTGGCAATAAATTCATAATCTGTACTTACTCTACCGATCTGACTCTGGGAAGCTATTTATCACCTGGTATCTTTACCCTTATGTCTGAGCAATAACTCAAGTATAATCTGTTTTTACAGAATCCCTTGTAGAGAGATTGATAAAATTGCTTGTTGTTTTAGGGACTTTTCAACTTTTCCATGTTGAATTTATGATTTCCATCAAAAATTCTAGTGAAACCCCTGATAAAACATTGTAATTATCTCACAATACATGTCAATTTTCACTGCTTGTAGTCGTGTGTGCTCTAACCGTCACGGTCTCATCAGAAAGTACGGACTGAACATGTGCAGACAGTGCTTCAGACAGTACGCCAACGATATTGGCTTCAAGAAGGTAAGTTACCAGCGCGCTAACTGATATGTTTAGGTAAAGATGGCAAAAGTCACATAATAGGGAGGTTAACTACATGTTTGAAAAAGAACATGTACTTGAATGTGTAAAATCATGACCAAGTGGATTACTGTCCCCCTTTTCAATTGTTCTTCCATGGACTCAAATTCAACTTTTCTCTTGCTATCTGTTATATTCACGAGGGCAAGTAAACAATACGAAAGGGAGAACTTATCCCTAGAGGAGCATAATCATACATATTCATGTACACATTCTCTTAAAAACATGTAGCCTAGTCTCCCTCATGAAAGCTTGTGGGAAACGTGTACTAAACAGTTAAAAAACATGAATGAAATGGGTGTATTTGTATAAATTTGGAGTTGTGACTTACTCCATAAGTGGTCAAATTTGCCACCTTTTAATGAAAAGGCTGTTCATCATGTCCTAGATCAAAGTTAATTGGATTCAAGATACCAATGTAGATTTACCAAAAGAAGACAATACACAAAAAATACTTTCCTAAAATATCAGGAAATACAAACGTGTCCTTGTACCTTTACTCTACCAGAAATGGACATGATCCAAGGGCTAAGCAATTTTAAAACTGTTTTCTTTTTGTATAAAGATTTACCTTGAGTATCAGCATAAATTGAAATCACAAATTATGGTTAAAAAAAATTCTTCAGAGTCATGAGTAGACTATCTCTGCAATGATTATCACTTTGTATGAACAATAATACTTTGATTATTATAAGTTCCCTATTGTCTGAGCAGAGATTGGAGATCATACTAAAAATATAACTGTGTGTAATTCATTCGAATCGCTTATTTATGATTTTATGTTATTATTTTTCAGTTGGATTAGACCACACACTGCACACCTTGGATGTACAATTGTTCGCACAACATGGCAAAGCTGTATCTGACAAAACCTGAATAAGACATTAGACAATACTGGATATTATATCTGATCCTATTGATGCCTTTGGAGGAATCTCTTTAGGATTGTTACAATATTGTTCTACAGACTTTGTGATTTAATTGCCGGTACAATGTACATCCTTGCGTGGAAAATAAATTAATGTCAAATAACATTAAATTAGATTATTCTGTGAACTGTTTGTTCTCCCATTGAATAAAGATGGGACAAGGGTAGACTACTCTCCTTGTTTTTCACATCATTGTATATTTCACATATATGAATATGATAACATATTGTGTCTTACAAACCTGTATCAAAATTAAACATCTCTAGCCTGGATAAGTATTCTGGTAGGGAGCCTCATAAAATCATTGGAAATATTTACTCTACTGAGTTAGCTTGAAGTGGCAGCCCTTTAAACTTTTATTATTCTAGGAATTTTGCTCTCTACCAGAAATGCTACCTGACCAATTCAATATTCTGTAATAAATTAAAATTGTTTTCATCAGGTGCCAGAGTTATACAAGTTCCATTACAAAATTGGTTTAATGTTTCAAGAGTTGAACAAAACATTTTTTATAATTCAAGGGTTTATGGGTTGAACATTGTTTAGAATTCAAGGGTTTATGGGTTGAACATTGTTTATAATTCAAGGGTTTATGGGTTGAACATTGTTTAGAATTCAAGGGTTTATGGGTTGAACATTGTTTAGAATTCAACGGTTTGTGGGTTGAACATAGTTTAGAACTCAAGGGTTTATGGATTGAACATTGTCTAGAATTTCAAGGGTTTTCTTCCTTGGTTTCCATGGTTGATCAATGCATGCATGCACTAATGTACAACCAGTGTATGCCCTTAGGATCTGAGAGCTGCCGGTCAAAATGGCATCATTGACCAGTTGCAATGTTATTTTCCTATATCTTGAGAAAAAATCAACTGGTCAGTATTAAAAGTAACCTGGTAACGACCAGCTGACCAGCCCTTAGGGCGTACCCTGTGTACAACACATGCATTTTGTATATAAAAGATTAGCCCATGGAACTGGACAATCAATGTTGGAAAAGGTATTTTTACTACACTAAGAAAGTGCTATATTGTCATTGTATTGTACTGCTGGATATTTGACTTGGCTATTTGCTCTTGCGATATTTAACTCTGTGTCTTGTTCCATCAACTATGAACACAGTGCTCCTGACGGTTCATTTTGCCAAGAAAATACTGACACCAAAAATATTGAATCATGTGAAATGAAAATCACCTTATATTTGAAATAGATACTTGACATTGAAAGATCATAGAATTTTAACTAAAGCTTGTTCAAAAATATGTAAAATACTGCAAGAAACTATATAAAAGATTATGTAGTTATTTCAATACAATCAATGACATTATAGCTTGGCTGCCGTGGGATTACCTGTAATATATGAATTCAGGATCTGCACAGAGGAAGGCAGGAACACACTAACAAAATACTACAAAGATATGGTGATGTTTTGTTACTTGAACTGGCAGCTGGCACATAGTTCAGGTAGTCAATGATATCTATCACCTAATCATGTGTTATAAAAATGAAAAACATTTTATTTCATCAACAAGTTGAAGAGAGACTGGTGCAAATGTATCGACTAATTATTGAGATATCGAGAAGAAAAATCTTATTTTTATGTATATGTTATATAGATGTCACTTCTCACCTGTGACTGGGTTCAGAGGAATTTTATATAAAAAAAGTCAATAGATCCTAACTACAAATCCTGCCACCTTTTGATATAACATAACACCTCTCTCTTAATGAACACCTCTTCTCAGCACATAATCCATTGCGTTCTGTATCAAATTGTCTCTGTAGTGAACACCTACCTACAGTGAACACATTTTTGTGGCTACATATGTGTTCACTGTATAGTTGGGGACAAAAATAAATGACAGGTCGATTTTCGATCACCATTTCCTAATTATGGTGGTCTGAAAGCCCATAATTTCCAATATTGTCTAGATACATATCCCTTAAAATTTGTATATTTTACATTTTGTATAATCTCATCCACTGATTTATGGCCTCTTGTAAATTCTCTTATTTTTAACATGGGAAATCCTCACTTCAGCAAATCCACCTGTCATTTATTTATGTCCCCAACTGTACAAAGGTTTTACAGTAATAGAATTTTTATCTGAAAGATCTATTACATCTCAGTTTACCAAAACTTTATAATTTTGGAAATACAGATTTCTTAGATAGCATAGCATACTGTACTATTGATCCATTTAACACTTAGATGCTACTAATGTTGGCCCATGGCCATGAACACACTCCCCCTAAAAATTTTGGCAACCTAAAGTCTTTGAAAAAACAAGGACGCATAAACAAACTTAAACAGGTAACATAGTTACATAATGGCTTGTCAAACTTGCAAGTGAGTGTATTTTAATAGAGAACAGAAATACAATATTTTCCCCACATGCAATTGAGAATAGATTTTCTATTTATACAATGTGTGTATTTAATAGAGTGTATAAATATTGAATTATTGAATGGTTATTTGAAATGGGTGTATATCATATGAAAAGCACATATTGGGCTAGCCTTATCAAACCAAGAAAGACTATATGTACCATTACTTTGGTACATGTAAAGATCTAAAATGCTTACAAGAATAAGTTTGTGACTTTGAAAAGGATATTTTATCAATCATAATACTGTTGAGCCTTATCCCGTGCCAGGACTATAGTCCTGAGAACGTCTCAATCTTTTGCCTGTACGATTACAACATGGGAGAATTTTCTACACCTCTTACACTTAGATACCTACTTCAATAGATTCCTGGGTATTTTAGCATTCTTTTCGTGTAGTTGAATCCACAATTATCTGGGTTTATCAGCAGAATATTCTCCCATGTTGTAATAGTACAAGATTGAGACATTCTCAGGACTATAGTCCTGGCACGGGATAAGTTGAGCCTGTTGCTACTAAATAATAAATCATTTGAGATGAATCACTTGATATACTACCACTATATAACTAGCAGAATAAGGTAAACTCACTGCATGTAAACATTGAATATCAGTTTACATAGATTGAGCAGGTCATAATTTAGGACAGGTAGAACCATGACATGATTTTCTGTCGCATAATGCACTTTGGAAGAAAGTAATTTCTGTAATAGATTAGAAGGAGGGATAATTGACTGAGTGGAGCAGTAGATTCCGTAACACAGAGCTCTGACAATTCAAGCTTCAAGCAGAGAGGACACTACAAGTAAAATTTTAAATGTTTGGGACTACTTTGAATTTAAAAAATAAGCAATCAAATGAGTATATTGCAACAGTATATGAAAAAATGGAAACACATGTACAAGTCCTAACTTTTGTATATTTCAGATAGTTATGTTATAATGTGCAGCAAAGCTGTGGCCCTTTGTAATTTAGGGAGTTTCAGCCATGTTAATTTTTTCAAAAATAACATGGCAGAGAAGCATCAAAATATAAGAGGCCACAGATATGATAGCTAAACTACAAAACAAACAAAAATGTACAAAAGTTAGGACATGTATAAATGTTTCTATTTTTACATATTCTGTTTCAATATTGTTCTTAAATGCTTATTTTTTAGATTCAAAGTAGTTCCAAACATTTAAAATTTTACTGTACATATATCAATGTATTGAGTAAATACGGTAAGTATGTTTATTGCAAAGCTTGGATGGAATCAATTTTCATTTATAACATGAAATATGACACATAACATACATGATGTATTAATATTAGGTTATTATATTACATACAAAATAAATCCACAGCTAGTTGAAACTGGCTGTGGGTCATTTTATATTAAAAATTATTTTAATAATCAGCCTGTAGTATCACTATGCCGAATTGATTACTTGAAAATCGTCAGATAATCAGAATTTGAAAATATGCTGAATTAGAATATACATGAAGGCCTATTGTGATTTTTAATATTAAGTACAATCAAATTGTTCTAATTCTTCAATATATTAGAGAATAATTAAAAGAATTCCAGTGTAATTATTTATATTTACTCTATGTATTTTTGATCGATTTTGTTTTACTGTTTTCGATGAAAAACAAGTTCTATATTTTGCACCACTAATTAATCAGCAACAATTCTGAAAAAGGGAACAATCCCCTGTTCAGTCTATATGCTGACATTTGTGCACTTTGTGTTTTTACTGGTTTTAAAACATTTGGATAAAGAAACCCATTTTAATGAGTAAAGTGTGTTTCCAATACAACCCTTATTTATTTACTGCCATTTTAAAGTAGAGCGTTTATATGAAAATGGGCCATAAATTCTATTTGTAAATAAACTTCAATATTTATAACTTTGATGTAATAAATGCCAATAAAATCTTTCCCTATATCTACCACCACTTCTGAAGATCAGTCTCACAAGTTAAAATGCACTGTATACAATTGCATAAAGGGTGACCCGCTTTAATTTTGTAATAACTTTAAAATCTTCTGCACTTATGAAGTGTCTGCTGCATGAAAGAGTGATATACATGTACTTCATTTATGTTTCCAATAATACAAGTTTATATTTGGGTTATTACCTAACAGTCTTTGTCATATATGAGTAATTTTTGAATGCTTAAGAAATTTGTTAATAATAGAAGATTTGTCTTTTGGGGTTACCCTGTATGAAAGTTGTGAGCTAAATACATCTTATTTTACTGTATTGTAATAAGAATATGAAAGTATTATTGAGTTTTCTTTTTTATCAACCAACATTCTTTACAACAATTGATCATTGATCCAGGTGTAATGTGCCACCTCCTAAATGAGCAAACATGATATGGTTGTTTAAATAAAGTTTTATTTGTTTTTTTTTCGGTATTTTGTGTTTAACTAACTTTTGGGTTATTTGGATAACTAAGATAAGATTTTGAAGTCTGAGGATAGGTTTGTTGATCATATGTCAATTTATGGTACTCTTGAAGGCAATAACTAGTGCTAAACACAGATAAGATAGAAGACACACCATGCACTTGATTCTGATGATTAGTGCACGTTTTATCTTTGATTGTAATGCTTAGAGTATGGCATCTCAAAATGAATTAGAAACACAATTTAACCCCCCCCCCATGTTTGTCTATTTCAGCCAAAGTACAGATTCCTTCTAAGTGATAATCAAAATGTCATCACAAGATGTTAATGATTCCTGTGCAGTTGGGCTCCCTACCATCAGTGAATTTGTAACAGGTAAGCTTACATTGTCTTCCCATCATCAAAAGCCTTTTACATTATAATGTGAATGGTTTGTACTTAGTCCCATGGGCAAAACGTACTTGCAGGTAATTAATGAAAATAAACAATATTCGTCAGAATTAATCATGTTAAATATTACAAATTGAAAACACAATTAGAATATGACAGAATATGAAAATGAACATAACACAAATGAAAAATTTCAATTGGAAAATATGGATAAATGGCTAACACTGTTAATTCTCAGCTATCAGCACCTATGAAATTTATCATGTAAATTAGATAATATTACAACAATAAATAGGTGTAATAAAAGGTGTTGTTACCGTTACATTTTCCTGTAGAATATTGACAAAATATAAATGAAAATTACATTGAAACAAAAAGGTAACATTGCAAATCTCATATCCATCTACTAATTTTCTTCCAATATTAAGCTTAGATTAACAGAATATTACATGAATATATTACAACTTTCAAAAAGATAATTTTATGGAAGGTGGGTTCACTACTTTTTTATTCACTATATACACATATGTATATTATACTTATCACTTATCTAGCTACACTTATTTTATCCTATCTTACTACTGCTAACTCATGCTAACTCATTCTACTCAATAATTGCGAGGAAAGTGTTTAGTACATGTATATGCCTTGATTTCTGGTTACTTTGGCAACTATCTCTTATCCAATATTTCTGTTATACAAAATATTTTTGCTGGATAAATACAAAATTCTATGCTGCACATTCTTTGAGAATTTCATTAGAAAACATTGAAAAATAAAGAAATTAGAGAGATATTATGAGAACTTTATGATCAGACCTCGTATATTTTCCTGATAATTGTTACATTAATGGTACATTTAATTTGGATTGCTGTGTTGTTTTCTCGTATTAGATTGTTTCAACGAAAAGAACTGGTCTATGAATACTGTAAAAGGCTGTAACAAAAATACATAATATTCTTATATGTAGATTTTGCTTCAGTTTCTTGTATATATATTTTTTGTTTTGTTATTCTTTATCTTCTTCTTCATGAACCTTCACATACTACACGTTTAATGTGTTTTTAAGAAATATATTGCTTGCATATTTTTTAAGTTTTTGAGGTGTACTTTTGGTTTATGTGCCTGTAGATTTACTCAACAGTTTTTGAGGTGCACTTTTGGTATATGCACCTGTTAATAAGGTATATGCTAAAATGTAAAAAGTTAATCGGGTAAGGAATTGGTCAATTTGACATTTATTATAGTTTTTTTGTTCTTGAGGTGTACTTTAGGTCTATACACGTGAATACCAGGTTTGTAATGAAAACATTCAAGTAAATGAGGTATGGATTTGGTATACACCTTAACAATACCTTTAAAACTCAGGCATACTTTGGTCTAAGGTGTACTGTAGAATACATTGCATGCATTCTTTTTACTAAGGTTTTTATATTTCATAAACTTAATATGTTCTTTTTGAAGCACAACATGTTTCAAAATATACATATATTTCTTAAACATTGAGATCTTGGATATTGCAGTTTGATAATCTATTTTTAGACTAGCTTGTTGTTCTGAATTTGAGATCAGCGAGGTGAGATCTCAACGACCTTTCTTAGGATCAATAAGGTGAGACCTCAATGATCTCTGATTCTGGGATCAACTGCTAGACCTATATGATCTCTGATTTTAATGACCTCTGATCTTGAGGTTAGGTATAAAAGCCAATGTTTCAAGAATTGCGCAGTTTGGATAGAGTTTTTAGAGAAGTTTTATATTGAGTTTTGAAACAGTAAGATATATTGTGGATATTGTAGTTATTAAGAGATTGAAGAAATAAAATATATTTTAATAGGCCTCTGAAGAGAAAGTATTTTGTGTTTGAATTAAACATTCAAAAATACGTAACAGTACTAAGGTATAATTTTAGTCATCAAATATTCCACTATACAGTACAAAACACATTATCTCTTAACACCATTACAAAGATTGAATAAAGGACACACTGATTCAATAATAAATGTTATGTCTAATGTGCCACACAAATGTTTTTGCATATTAAAAAATATTTGCACCCTAAGTGACACCATTGTGTAAAAACCTTTAAAATTTATTTTTACTTTTTTCTATGTCAATCTTTCTTAAATATTCTAAATTTCCAAAATAACCAATGCTGATTGTCTAACTAAGTTGAAAAGAAGAATATATCATGTTGTTAATATTATTGTATCATTGGTTTCTATGAGAACTACAATTTTAAAATGCAGTTCCTCTGAACCACTTTCATGCATGGCTGAGTTCATTTCTCACTTATTTCTCAACAAATTTTCTTAATTTTTTAACAAAAACACGTGGGGATGAATACTATGCATTGGTGTGAATTATTGTTTATTAAAAGATATGAATGACCTCCAAAATTTAGTTTTAAATAAATTCACTATTTTTCAAACAAAAAGTCCTTCAAAAACCACTTTTTGAAAAAAGTTTCACATATTACATTTTGATAACATTAGGTAAGACTACAATACAGTATAAGCCAACTTGGTTTAAACTTTATATGGGGCCTTTAACAAATAAGTTAACTTTTATCAAAATATTTGTTACAAAAATCAAGAATTAGCTATTTATTGCTTGAAAATTGCAATTCTTTTTACTTTGGAAATTATCGAAACAATTTCACTTTTGACCTTTCTGATGACCCTTACTGTTGATTCGACCTTGAATTAGTTGACATTTACTTTTGAAATAATGATAATATTTTCTCTACTTGACCTATTTTCAAGTAACATAGGCCTTTAGACTTGTTCTTGTGTCACACATGTCCCTCATGTGACCTACATTGAAAATATGTTTTGACCTTTTGGTATATTATTTGTCCTAGCCTAACTAATCAACCTTCATTTTATTTCCTGGGTGACATAAAACATTGCAGCAATTAATGTTGGCCTGTATAAAATATTAAATTGAATTTGTTATTTCCAGTGGTTAGAACTGAAGGTGTTGTGATTGGAATAGTAATACTGATACTGTCACTGGCAATTCTTGGGATGTTCATCTACAATGTTTGGCATCGTTGCAAAGCATTCCCCAATTTGTGGCATAGACAGGGTGTTGTATGGTGGATCTTAGGAGTATACACGGTATGTCAGTATGTGGGATGTTCCTAACTTTTGAGAAAAAACATTCCATCATGTGATAATTGCTGAATAATGTTTTTATGAAACTTTATGAAACAATCATCGCTGTACAGTATTCTACAAAATGTGAATCTAGCCCTTTAACATTGTTATATTGTGTTCTATAAAAGCAAAAATGGATCTGCTTTTATAGCATGTTTAAATCATTTGGATATTTGGAATGTTCATTAAATTCATAAAAAAAAATTTAAGGCACATTATTCATTATGATAATTTACCATCATAAGTTCATACTTATATATATCTTTTATTGACTCAATAACCATGTCATGTAAATGACATATCAGTCACTACGGTGTACAAAAGAAAACTAAAAACTACAACTACATATTACAAAACTACTTTACATCAGTTTCACATGTCAGGGTATGATATCAGTGTGGTGTATCCATAATACATGCGTTTTAAAAAATGTTTACATAATATTAATCATTTTCCAAATTTTTAAAAGAGTGATATACAAATTTGGCTAAATGTAAGTTAATATTAAGCATGAATTTTATTTTTCAGATATTTGCATGGACTTCATTGTTTGGACTTCTGTTCCCGGCTGCTGGCCCACTTTGCACCTTTACAGCTAATATGTAAGTATATTTTAGTAATTATGTTGTCTCAAAGTATATTCAGTAATTGAAACACAATATTTCTTAGAATACGTTTAGGTGTAAGCAACAATTATATTGTTTATCCTACATTCAAATTACTATTTCTTATTTATACTATTTATGTCTGTTGACATCTGTAACAAATGGTTATGACCACATTGTATTAAATTTCTGCTGGAAAAAAGGTCGTAATTTCAACTTGCTTCAAATTGACCAATTTTTTTCAAAATTATCTACAAGTTCTCAAAAGTTCAAATCTGACTATAGTTTTGACATTCAATGACATATTCTCAAGGTCAAAGAAGATTTGACCTTCAATGACCTTCTCAAGGTCAAAAGGTCTTTTTTCATCTTGCTTCAAATTGACCAATTTTTTTCAAAATCATCTCCAAGTTCTCAGAAGTTCAAATCTGACTATAGATTGGAGCTTTCACATTCAATGACCTTCTTATGTTCAAAAAAGGTATTTTTTCAACTTGCTTCAAATTGACCAATTGATTTTTTCAAAATCATCTACAAGTTCTCAGAAATTCAAATCTGACTTAAGATTGAACTCATTATATTGTGAGCGACTAGGTGGTGACATTTTGTCATGTTAATGCCTTGTTATTCATTGTCAGAGGTGGAGGGTGTAAAGAATCCACTGACTCTTGCTTTTTTAAACATCCCTTTTGTTTATCATTTCAGATATCTTGCGGTGACCATGTTAATGTTTCACAAAAAGATGCTTCAGTTCTTCAATGGTCACACATCATCCATGACTGAGATTTTGACTGGACAACAGATGTTTCTACAGCTGCGGAACCCACCATGCTGCTGTTGTTGCTGTTGTTTGCCCAGATTGAATCCTACAAAGTAAGTTCTGATCTAAGTTGATATATGTAAGAGACAACAACTGTAAATACATGTACATTATATAATATGTTCATTGTAAAATGTTTAGTCCCTTGAGAGACAGTAGGCAGTTGTTTTGTTGAGAACTGTATGGACAAAATGACAGATAAAAAGATGAAGATGATGAGCTATGTATGGTTAATTCATGTTGCAATTTCGAAATGTTATATGATTTCCAGTTTCCTTCACTTTAGATATATTTGATTTATAATGACCATTTTTATGTTCCAGGCGCAACTTCAGATTCATCACTGTGCTAGTTCTACAAAAGGCTATCGTGACCCCCATCAACTACTTTATTGGTGCCGTATTATGGATCAATAAGGTCTACAACCCTGGCCTGGTAAGTTGGCAACAATTGAAAAATTGATGGTATTATGATTTAATTAAGAACATACACTGTAGTTCATATAATAAGTATGTATTATATATTTGTAGATAGCTCCTGGAGATGCTTTCATCTACATAGTCTTAATCAATGTGATATCAACTCTGTTTGGCATGTGGGGACTCATTGTGGAGTTCAGGTTTGTTGTATTCGGGTCTATATGACGTGTAGTATACAATGTATTGATTTATTTGACTTAAGGCCAGCTTTTGCAGCAAAGGGGGTTCACTTTTTAAAAATTTCTAGGGGGATTTCATTTGACCATCGATAATTGCTCGGAATGGGGAAAAATTGCATGATTTTGAAAGAATTTTTGCTGGTGGAGGGGGGGGGGCACAAGCCTGATAATACTATATGTAATTCTTTTCCTTTCCAGAATGTTTAGATCAATAATGCCATCAGGTTTCAAACTTGTTCCAAAGTTTATGGTTTTCCAAGTTTTGATCATCCTTACTACATTGCAAGGAGCCATCATTGGAATGTTGAGTACAGCAGGTATCATAAAATGTGACACAACAAGACCTATATCTGCAGCATTAAAAACACAAGGTGAGACACAGCTTGTTTTTTATTGGAAATTAAAAAGCATGAGTGCATGTACTAGCCTGCACGAGGGTGGAGTCCAAGTACATTAGCAGGATTGGTTAGTAAGATGCATGAATGCTTTTAAAATCCAATAAAAAGTATACAGGGCTCTTTATTGCAATTCCAATGTACTATCACTCCTTTATCAAATGACATTGCCCAGTACTCTATAAAACCATTATGTAATGTGGTGATGTCATTCTTTTACCAATAATGGCAATGCTTAGTTCATTATAAAACTACGAATGACTGTTAATAATAATAATGTTTCTGCTCAAATGACCATATAACTAGAGGTGTCACGGAACAACAAGAAAATCAGAACATTTCGCTTTGGAACGGAACAATTTTGGAACGGTTCGGAACATTGTGACTGCGTGTATAGATTAAAACAAGTTGATTGTCTAGGTTTATTTGGTAGTGAAAAGCTCTTCAAAACTCTTCAATGAGAAGGAGTAAAAAGAATGGACTTCTTTTGGTGCAAAATATTGAAAGAAGAATGTTGTTCTGTTGCAATTTAAGGGCCAAAAGCTGTGAAAGTGTAAGATTTTCTTTTCCGGAACCAAACCAAAATTCTGAATTTTTGTTCCCTTTTCCATTCTGAGAATGTAATTCCACAAGTCTGAACATAATCCGGTTTCCGTGACACCTCTACATATAACTTAAATTAATGCACTGAAATACTCTAAGGTGATTGGCTGAGACATACTTGGCATATTTAAATTGAGAATGGTAGATAGGTTTCTCTGGAAATCAGGTGGCTAAATTCACCAAGCACCACATTTTGGTTTAAAAATATCTGGTTTCTACAAATGAAGGTATGGGTGGCATATTATTTTTGGAACCTACAAACATCATGCAAGGGCAACTGTCTCGCGATTTTACAGAAAAAATTAGTCAGATGTTATTTTCAATTATAGCTAAGAAATAGTAGTCCAATTATAATATTGTATGATGTATTTCCTTTTCACTTTATGTTCCCATTGTCTCAAATCAAATCATTAATAAAAAAAACAAGGCATTATTATGCAATATGTCACCACCTGTCATTTGTTATAGATGCAAGACCGCACTCACAAAAATGGAGACCATAACAATAAGTCACCACTTTTGGTGGTGAGATAAAAATGGTCATTTTGTCCTTAGATTGCATATGGTAACTTTTTGCATATTTTTCCTCTGCAGGTATTACTTTTCTGCTCACAATAAGTGAAAGTTTCATCTTATCAATTATTGCAACTGTTGTCTATAGAAAGGACTCTGAGGAATCTTTGGCTGAATGGGCAGCAGAAGTTCAGCAAATGAAACATAAAATCGACACAATGCAAAGTAATGGGGACATGGAACTACATGCAGATGAGGTGGTCATTAACCACGCTGCAGACCAGACTCTTAGTGTAGAAATAGATAATGGCGGATTTAAAGATAAAGTGGCAGCCAAAAGAAATTAAAATGTTGCAATAGTGATGTTTGCTTACATATCCTAACTTTATTATTTGGAAAGGAATAGACGTTTCCCATAAATAGTGCCATCTTTTGATCCATATAATAAATTGGCTAGATTGATGACGTTATTGGTTGTATCTGTCCATGCAAAAATAGTATTAACTTATTGCTAACTTTGAAAAAGTACAACCTATGACATCATCAATCTAGCCAATGTATTGTGGTTTCTCTGATGGACCAAAAGATGTCACGATTTATCGAAATTGTCTATTGAGATATTTCATCAAGATCCATGTCCAGATTCAATAGAATTGAGAGAGGCTGGCCACTTTCTCAAAGTTATTGAAATTGAAATATTGTTATGAATTAAAATCAGAATCAGACATTTTAGAAAATAGCCATGACAATGAATGTAATTGTTAAAAATATTGTAAAATAATGACAATTTTTTCCCAATTTATCCATGGAAGTCGGATATTGTCATTGTTATCTAATATTGGAGCTTGATACATTATGAAAAAGCTCATTTTAGATGTGCATAGTTTTGGTGTATGATATAGAGCTAGAACATAGAGGGATTTAAATGAACTGAAAAAATAATCAAAACTGAGAAATTGTATATTTTAATTGTAAATGTAAAGGATGTGTAGATTGATGGTACACATGTGCATAATCTTTTAACACTTGACATTTATGCTAGATGTTCAAACAGAGGTCTTTGGAGTAACTGTATGAATTGAAATGAACTTCATGTGTGTAAATATATTCAGCTATCCTATATAGGTTACTCAAAGGGGAATGTAACATAGTACAAGCAATAAATGATCTCTAGATCCAGCCCATGTAAAGTTGAAAAGTTCAATGACTGTCTAAAAACTTGAAAATATACTTAGAAATTCACTCAGGCTGTATAAATGATGGTTAAAACGACAGTTGATTCAGACATTGTTGTTCTGGTAGTTCTTAATAGAATGTAAATGTAATGAAATATTGGTATAATGTTTAACACTCAGGGTAAGACCAAAATCGCACAAAATGGAATGGCATGCTTTCTCTCAGAAGTTTTTGAGAGTGATCCAGGGGGGCCGTTAACAGTAAAGTCCATTGTTCTCTTACTGTGACATCATTTTATCCATGGTTACAACAATTGATATACAAATTCATAACTGTACGAAATTTCTGTTAATGACCCCCTGATTATATTTTTAGATCACTTGTAACAAACATAAATCTAATTACTTTTGTAATAAATAAGATTATATTATAATATTCTATTATTATGTGTGTTGCGTCTATCGGGTATGATTGGTACTGTACAATATAAATGAACACTTCAACACTTACACAATTTTCAACTTTTTCAATACTTACACAACTTTCCTCTGTCTATCCACTTTACACAAAGTACTTTGCATTTGGATTTCTATTTATCCATGATTCAGAACATCTTGCATCTGATACATATTCCTACTTTTTCAAAATTGGTTGAAAATGAATGTGTCTGAATTGCATATGATGCCTAAATATCAACTTGAAGCATGTCAATTTGTCAATTAACTTTTGCTAAACAGGGGCACGAGTAAAGTAGTTTCCCAACTCATTTGTCAGACCCTCTCTTATCTATTCTGAATTCTTGGTGACTTAAATAGGTGTGGTTTTGGTCGTTCAGGTTAATAAAGCAACAATGAACTGTAGAATGTTTAAGGATCTGTATCTCAAGTTCATCACAATACTGATCAAGAATTAATTAACTTAATGGTAGAACAGAGTCCCTTAACTGCTGATGGACAAGCATAAATACTATGATGCCTTGAGACTGTATTGCTCAGTTAAAACTCACTTTCATTGAAAACTGAAAATACAGATCCTTTCTAACCAAATATCCCCCAACTCATAATATGGAAATTAGAAACTTCAGGAAATGATGATTTGCAAGGTACCTTTGTGTAAAGTTGATGCAGCTATGACATTCTGTATATACATTTCAATATACACGTACATTGTAACCTTCAGCTCTGAATACATTATTTCAAATTTGCCCATTATATATAATTACACTAATATAAGCATTTAGTTTTCTACAATAGTTGTGTTTGGCCTAAATATTTCATTTTAGTAGGTAGTAAGATTGGAGGTTTAAAACCTGGCAAACTGTAAGGAATGGAAGAAATGTTTCTAGAAGTAATGTCCCATAACTTACCAGACAAAAGTTCATCATTTTTTCTGGTGCAGCTTGTAGAATTTTTAATAAACAACTTATGCTTGTTACGCTCTAAGTGTGAAACTGAAAATATACATTATAATATATGAATTCTGAACAGTTATTGTAAAAGCCCTTTTCAATGCTCAAAAATTCAGTTTATTCTGTCTATGGGTAAATAACGTAACCATTTCAACATTTCTCATATTGGCAGCAATATAAACACTTGTGGTCGTGACATGATAGACAATATAGTGAAGCAATGTAGCGCATTGAATATTTGGGTTTTCACAGTATGTATGTATATCTCTATCAGCAGACTACAAATTCAGCACCTTTACATGTACAACACTCAACATTATTACCATACTCTGTGGAATACTTCTATAACAAACAATTCATTTGAAATCATACATTTAACAAATTGCAATCTAAAGAAATTTTTAAAATTGATACCTAATATGATGGGAGTCATAAAAATAACGTTTTTACAACAAATGTGAACCTTTACTCTCTACATGTATATCATGTAATAAGTCTAACATAAGAATTTTTACATTACAATATATTACATAACAAAACATGCATAATAATTCTCAAATAACCATACATACTTGATACATCCAGGAATTTTAGATAACAAAATTCCTTTCTCAAGTTTCCTTCAGAATTCACACTAAAAACCTCTTAGAGATAGCCCATGTAAGAATTTTGGTGTCTTAGACAGGTTTTATCCTCTAAGATGTAGTCCATGTTAAATTTTTGGTGTCTCAGACAACTTAAGACAGGTCAAATGCAGAAACAATAGACACTCAATTCAGCAACAAGTTTGTATTTTAAACTTATAAGGTAGGCAAAGTAGAATGAATAACCCTACTAATGAACTCACAAACAGGTCTGAGTCACCAACCATGCGTACCTTAATACTAAAGTCATAAAAATCACATTGCAGTTGAAGTTTAATCATGTAGACATTTTACTATGTGTTGGTTGGATTCAAGTGGTCTAGTGAATCACTAGTTTCATCAAATATGAATATCCTACATCACAACTTAGTATTAAACTTCAGGTTGATACAATCTAAATACAAGGCATTAATATGACAAAATGTCACCACCTAGTTGCTCACAATATTATGAGTTCAATCTTAAGTCAGATGTGAACTTCTGAGAACTTGCAGATGATTTTGATAAAAAAAGGTTAATTTGAAGCAAGTTGAAAAAATACCTTTTGACCTTTTTTGACCTTGAGAATGTCATTGAAGGTCAAATCTTAAGTCAGTTTTGAACTTCTGATAACTTGTAGATGATTTTGAAAAAAGAAATTGGTCAATTTGAAGCAAGTTGAAAAAAGACCCTTTTGACCTTGAGAAGGTCATTGAAGGTCACATCTTTCTTGACCTTGAGAATGCCATTGAAGATCAAATTTATAGCCAAATGTTTGAGAACTTGTAGATGAATTTGAAAAAGATTGGTTCATTTGAAGCAAGTTGAAAAAAACCTTTAGTCCTTTTTTGACCTTGAGAGACATTGAAGGTCAAATCTCAAATCTTAAGTCAGATTTGAACTTCTGATAACTTGTAGATGATTTTGGAAAAACTGAAGTCAGTCTAAACAGTATTTGTTGAGTTATTGGAAGTTGTAAGAATTTGTTACAGACGCCAGTCGCCAACCACCGACAAAAAAACGGAGACCATAACAATATGTCACCACTTTTTGGTGATGACATAATAGAGAGGAAAATATATTGGTAATATCTTTCCAAACTAATTCTATACCTTATGTAAATTCATGTATGTGCTTTGGGTGTTGTTCCTCTGCATGCAAAATTAACATAAATTTTGTCTATTATACAAACTGATATACGATTAGTCGATTACCTACAAATTATATCACAATGTTTTGAAGATATGACACTGTACAAAAATCTAGCTTTGTTATTTCATAACATAATAAAGAATACAAATCACTGAATACACTTAATAAATAAATCACTGGTTTATATTTCATTGAATCTAAAGCAGCTTCACGCATTTCTTTTTTTGATGGCAAGAAGATAATAATGATATGAACATACAAAGAATGATTGAGACTTTTTTCTTAAATCCACCACTCTGAATATCTTTTATTTTCTTTTATAATCGAAGACCAAACTTTTTATAAAAAGTTCTCTGGAATTGGCCATTTTTGGGAAACAATTCAATCATATATTTGTGTGATTATGGGATTTAAGATGGCGGATGGAAGTAGGTAATTATACAATAAATGCCTAGGTAGCGTCTCCAAAATATATGCCAAGTCATTCTTACATAACAAATAAATTTTGCATTTGTATGTTGTACTAGATATTATTTACAAATATTTTTCATGCAGTTTTACCGATATAAAATACTTATAATCAACATTAGGTAAATGGGAGATTTATTAAGCGAAATTTATATTAATTAATACTGCAAATCTTTACACAATTACTCTGTGATCTTAAATCATGATTTCGATAAAAATACTATCTATGTGACATTATGTTAAATTGATTACCTAATCTGGTATCACTTTTAATTCATCGTAAAAATAGTACTAAAATTCTACCTTATCATTACATGAATATAATTTCATATATCAGCTTCATGTAAATAATGGCCATGATATTGGCACCAACATGTACATTGTACATGTACATGTATGTACTATGCACCTACTAAAAAAGTTGAAATACTTGATGACTTTTAAGCATAATATACATGCTAAAGATGTGCTGAAACATCTCGTTTGAACAACATAAGGAGTTGTGGAGGGCCTATTCAAATACCTTTTTGTATATATATCATGACCCAATGTTCATATTCACACATTTTACAGTAATGAAAAATTACAATTCCTGAAATGGTTCAACATGTTAGGTACATTGCTCATTTCAGAGATATAAGTTAAATGTGGATTTCATATCCATCTTTTGATCTTACTCACATTAATGTGATATTGTGCAGTTAGACTCTTGCTTTAGTCACATGCGCCAAACAAGCAGTTGCTGCATTCAGGCCCCTACCTTGTTATCACATAATAGGCCATATTGTCTTGTTGCTCCATTCCTACATGTATATAATACATGTAGTTAGACAGGCTATATCGTACAATTTCTCTATAACTCCCAATGCTTTATGGTCTTAGATAAGCTATAGTGTACAATTCCTCGATCCACCTCCCTCCTTTATAGTATATAGGTCAACCATTGCATCTATGCAAATAGCCAAGGTGCAAAAGGCATGACTATGTTGAATTACAACATAGCATTAGCACCTCCAGTGGCCTGACTATGTCGGGTTACAACATAGCATTAGCACCTCCAGTGGCCTGACTATGTCGGGTTACAACATAGTATTAGCACCTCCAGTGGCCTGACTATGTATAGCTTGGAATGATAGAGATCTAACAACTGGATTCTTCAAAACTCGATTTAATCGGAAATCATAAACCTGTCTGCACATGAACACTATTTCCTGATCTGTTGTCTCCGAAGGCATTCTATTTAGCCCAATAGGTGTCTCTGTGAGGCCACTCTGTGACGGGACAATACATTTTTTGTCTAATTGTGAGGGAAAACCCTCAGATTTCATCTTAATTTTAGCCTTGTACCTGAAATATAGTTTAATTGAATATTTAAAATGGAATTACACACACAATACATTTTTAATTCGAAATGATTTATGTTTTAAAGTTTAATATAAATGGTCTATAATTAGTTTTAGAATATCATAAAAGGGTCACATATGAAACAAGTTTTGTCAAAATAAAGGAAAAAATTAATTTCCTGTTACAATATAATATTATATCCATGTACACTGAAAGATTAAGCAGGATCCAGATAGACCAACACAAGCTAGCTCCTGATCTACCTACTCACCTGCAGAACTCTCCTAGCGTTAGCACATAGCATTTGTCCTCTATACAGGCCACACTGTTGGTGTCTCTATGTTTGGAGGCAAAGATTTCTTGGTCAATGTGATATGGACGTCTCCCAATTTCAGTTTGTTCAGGCCTGTAGTACCACATCGTACCCATCATCATCTCTCCTATAAAAGAACACACATCATATTCAAATTCAGTATGCATGATATGACATACAGCATATTAAATTCATAATCAAGACATACATGGATAGATTTGAAATACACGACACATTAAATTTGAAATACATGACATATGGTACATAAAATTCAAACAAATGGAATTCAAATTACACGTCAAGCTATATATTAAATCAAAATAATATTTATTATGCAAATGTATTCATCTAAATCTTACCATCATCAGGATTCTCAAAAAGGGCAGATATCTTGGCAACAAAAGGTACATCTGTCTTCAGGGGCCCAGACTTAATCAGCACACAATCCCGCACTCTGATGATATCACCATCAATATGGCGAATAGATGGATAGCACTTGCGTTCCAGAGGAGGGTAATCATTCTATAACATAGTCGAAAACAATTGAAACTGTGGCGAATTCCATCACTCACTCTTTCAATAATGTTGGTTGCTTTATAATTCCAAGTAAGACTTTAAATAGAGTCTATTTTGATTTCACATTTTCACAGGACTAGAGATAACACCATGAACAAATTCAAGTCTGTCTTGGAACTTACTGATTGATTTGGTGTAAAAGCAATCACAATTATTTGATTATCTAAAAGGAAAAAATATTCAACAGGGATCATACAAGGCATTAACACGCAAAATCTCACCACCTACCATTTGTTACAGATGCTGACCGAAAAACATTGTACACAAAAAAGTTGGAGGCTTTAACAATATGTCACCACCAATACTATGTCTCTTAATTACTGAGGAAGGGGGATCATCTATAAGATCTATCTTTGGGCAGACAATACTCCATACATGTATATTCAAATTTAAGGTGATAAAATTATGAAACTTGCTTACTGTTGTATAGACCTTTTTGTAGAAAGGTTCCCCCTCCCATCGCCAAATACTCTGACTTGGGGACTTTCTTTTCTTCTTTCCCTTATCATCAACAACTTTCAGTTCATTCTTCTCTTTATTTGTACTGTCTTTTCTCTTCTTATCAGACCCAGATTTTTTTCCCTCAATTTTTTCAGATTTTTTCTCTTTCGCATCTGGTGTCCTGCTTTTCTCGGGTGTCTTAGCTCCGCTTCTAGTTTGAGGCGATCGACTTTTTTCTGGAGTTTCAATACTCTTTTTACTGTCTGGAGTTTTGGGTTCACTTCTCACAGGGGACCTTGTTTTAGGTTTCATTGGAGGTGATTTGTTTTTCTCTGGAGTAACTGGTTTGTTTTCAGAAGGTTTTGATTTTTCAGATTTAGGGAACGATTTAATATTTGGAGACTTGGATTTCTCTGGAGATTTAGGCTCATGTTTAGTCAAAGATTTAACCTCCGAGTCTGAACAAACTGTGTTAGATTTATCTTGAGTTTTGCACTTTCTGGTATTTGGTGATTTATTACCAGGAATTATTCCACTTGGAACTACTTTGTTTGATTTTGGGTCACTTTTCTTCTGAGAATGAGGGTTTTCTGGGCTACAGGGATTAGACTTTGGGGCATTGATAGCTGTGAGATCTAACGTTGTAGGTGGCACAGAAGGTTTGCTACTTTCTGGGATATGTGGCACAATACAGTCTATAGTGAGTGATTGTTCTTTTGGAATACTCTCGGGTTCATCACCAACAGTATGAGAATCCCCACCTTTACTTTCATGTGGCTTAATTTGTTCATTTGGCTGAACCTCAGTCTCAGAAATATCACCTACAATAGGAGCATTGTCAATTGTATCAATCATTTTACCATCATTCTGTGTTTTACTTTTAACCTCAGGGGTTTCAGAACTTCCAGATTTACATTTAATATCACCATCTGACTGTATATTGAGAGTTCCACTTTTATGATCTGGTTTGGGACTATTTTTTTGAGTGGCACTTTTTGGTCTTTCTTTTTGTACTACAGGAGTGGTACATTTGGGTTTCTCTGCAACACACGGAGAGCACCTAGCTGGGCTTTTACTTGACCTCCCACCTGACTCTTTATGTCTTTTATCTTCAGCACGACTGAATGTATGAATCACCTTGATATCTGAAGATAAATCCATAATAACCTTTGTGTCTTCATCATTAGGCCATGATTTAGGGCTATCTGAACTATCTATTCCTCGCTCTAAATTTGTATTATCAGTTTTCTCTACATCCAGCACTGCTTCAATTTTCTCCTCCTTTTTTATCTCTATAATGCTACTACTATTTGACAATGTATCCTCATATTGTCTTATGCTACCATGGATCTGCTCAAATCGTTCAACATTTTTAGCAATTTTAGGAACCCCTTTGACATCAAGAGCTCGTCTCTTGAAAGGTTTAACGTCACCATGTCCAAGTTTATGTTTCTCTGCTTTGATTGGTCGCATAGGCAAGGGTTGGTCGAGTTTGTTGAATGGCTTCATGTCTATCTGAGCACCAGGTTGAGAAGGCGGAGGATGGATGTTATGGACTAGGACCTTCACCTTGAAATAAAAACCATTGTAATCAAATAAGTACATGTTCAACTTATCAAATGTGCTTCCATTACATATCACCAGTCACCAGTAATCCAATCAAGTCTAAGTGTCACTTTGTAAGCCGGACTGTATTAGTTACAAAAAATTGTTTTCCTTGTACTATCCGAGTTACAAATAAAAAATGATCAATCCCTTCCACTCTCTCATTTGTATATTATATGTGTCATTTGTATATTATATCTGTGCATGCTCGGAGCACAACATCCTTCATGAAGGTATTGTTCTTTTCAATGAGACTCGAGTCAGAAGAAAGACACTAAGATATATCAAGGTGACACTTGAGTGGATTACCACTGACTGACCATGCCTATTGCCCTAGTTCTAGCAAATTTAAAAATTTGCCTATGTTTTGTTCTTCCTGATATATTGGAGCTAACATGAAAAATTGGCCATAAGACATTAGATAGAGCACACTTATGTTCAACTTAGGTTAAGATTAAGATATACTGTTCAATACTTAATGTTAGTTATTCAGGAAAACATTTATTCATATCTACATATTATGAAGCTAGGGTCACATATTGTACAGGAAACAATGAGTGTAGTAAATATGATAGATTGAGTTACCTGTGGTTGTGCTATTTGCATGGGTACAGGGAAGGGGGTCATACAAGGATCACACTGCTCAGGGCCTAAAGTCTGGATCAAAGGTCCTGCTGCTTGGTAGAACCCTGAAACAAACAGGGGAACTTCATTGAACTTCATGAGAATGTTACTAAAGGTGTGAAACCGACCTGAAGTTGACCCGAATCACGAGTCGGAAGGCTCAGGTCAGGCCACGAAAAACTATCAAAGCATAATATGCAGGCTTAAACAGTCTTATAATGTGCCGTGCACTCACCCAGTTGTTTCATTTGCTTGTGCTAAATTAATTTTTATTCTGGCCTGACCTGACCCAAAAATACCTGACCCATGACACCTCTAATTGTTACATAGATTTTTCACCATACTCGCTAAAACAGGAAGTTGTTGAATTGTAGGACTGATGGGAAACATTTACAATTATTTGTCAACAGTTTTTTCTGCACATAGGAGGTAGTCACATATTAGAAAGTGATTTGTATGACTATAATTGATAACAAGGCATTGACATGACAACATGTCACCACCTAGTTGCTCACAATATTATTAGTTCAAAAATTGATGCAATTTGAAAAAATACCTTTTTTGACATTGAGAAGTTCTAGTCTAAACAGTATTTGTTAAGTTTTTGGAAGTTTTAAGAATTTGTTACAGATGCCAAACGCCGACCACTCATCGCCAACTGCCCCCCGCAGATCGCCAACCGCTATCACAAAAAATGGAGACCATAACAACTTTTGAGAACTTCTAGATGATTTTGAAAAAGAAATTGGTCAATTTGAAGCAAGTTGAAAAAAGACCTTTTTGACCTTTTTTTACCTTGAGAAGGTCAGTCTAAACAGTATTTGTTAAATAAGTTATTGGAAGTTTTAAGAATTTGTTACAGATGCCAACTGCCAACCGCCGATCGCCAACTGCCCCCCGCCGATGCCAACCGCCGTCACAAAAAACAGAGACCATAACAATATGTCACCACCACCAATATGCAACAAAAAAGCAACATACAACATGAGAACTCACCTTGTTGGACCTGTTGATACATAGGCTGGGCACCATAGGGCACTGTAAATGCACTGTTCATGTTGGGATATGGCGGTCTCTGGTACATCAGTGAGAAACTGTTTCCCATATTGCTCAACATGTACGTCTGACACTGACTAGATGGCATAGAAGTATTGCTGTAAGGGTAAGTATGCACCTGTGGGAGGGGGGATGGCACCCGTGCGTTATTCACCATGTGAACAATTTGCGGATTAGGTGCCTGTCCCTGGAGATTGTTTGTCATCATTTGCGTAGGTGGGTTGTTCCCCATGACTTGTGGGGGACCCTGCTGATTTTGCTGGGGTTGGGGTACAGGAGGCTGAGTTGGTTGACTCCCTTGGGGTTGACCAATTTGACTCCCCTGGGAAGGGAGAGGAGACATCATAGTGGGTGGTGGCATGGAGGTGTTATCCTGTGGAATGACTGGGTTGGCGAGGGGCGAAGAGAGTCTCCTTTGAACAGGGGGCGGTCCAGGGGATCTTATCTGTGGCTGGGCTTGGTGAGTAGAGATCTGTTGTTGTGGTTGCCGAGAGGGGGGCAATCTTTGTGCGGGAGGCATACCCCTCGGTTGTGCTTGAAAGGCCTGTGGGGCAAGGGCAGGTGTGTTCATCAACACATGCCTTGGAGTATCTCCAGACATGTTAGATTGATATTGCTGATTGGGGTATACATGGGGTTGTCCGCTTGGGGATTGCATACCACTTGTACTACTGTTCTGTGGGGGTTTAGTATCTGGCCCTTGATGCTGTCTATTCACTGGCACATTATACCTATTCTCCCCATAGACCCCTGTATTATTCCAAGATACAAGTCCAGCTGGCGGTGGCTCATTAAGTCCACTAACCCAGCAGCTAACGCTTTGTTTAGTCTGTTCAGCCAGTTGAGCCTTCTCGATGGCTCGCTCTTTGGCACTGAGGGGTCTAGGGGGCATACCTAGTGCAACCCTGGTACTGTTTGTGCTAGGCTGAATCTCAATTACATCAGGTTTAACCTCATCAAAGGTTGCGCCTCCTTCAGGAGCTCTTGCATTCTCAAAGTCATAAACACTGGGTCCACGTTCTATAATTCTATAACTGGGCGCAGTCTCATCCTGGGACACTGGAAGGTCAGCTTTCGATTCTGATTTCTTCGTGGCATCGTCTGACTTAATTGGTTCTTCTGATTTTTCTTTTTCTGGTGTCTTTTCTTCTGGTTTAACCTCAACTGCAATACTTTTTTCTGTCTCTGTATCAGATGCCTCTTCTTCGCAATCTTGTCCTTTGGTCCAGCTTTTATTTGTAGCTGCTATACATGCCTGGGCATTAAGACTGGCCATTCTCCTGATTGGAGCAAACTGAGGACTATTGCTATTTTCTGGCCGTTTCTTAGGAGGGAGGCTCAATTTAACCTTATTTGAGGATTTAAGTTTCTCTTTCTGAGCTGACTGAACTTGATCACTTTCGATGGGCTTATCTTTAAGTGATTTTGTTTTTGATTTCTCTCTTTGGAGCGATTTCTGAATTTCATTTGATTTGTCTTTTTGTGCTTTACTAGTGGATTTCTCTTTGAGTTTAATTGGATCCTTAGATTCTATGTGCGCTTTGAGACTAGCTTCCATGGCTTTTTTGAGATCCATATCAAATTCATCTTCAGTAGCCATACAGGATGACCAACTGTATTCAGATGATGACAACTCAGATGATGATGTTTGAGTCATCTCCATAAAGACGCTTGCATTCAGGCTAGCCATGCGTCGTGATTTACTAGCCAGTATGGGTGAAGAAACAAGATCAATACCACCTCTGCGTCCCTTTCTTCCTTTCATTTTAATAGGTCTAGTGACTGCTGTACCTTCTTTGCTACCATTGCCTTTACCCTTTATTGCCCTTTTCTTGTTAGATTCAAGAGATTTCTGCTTTTCAGTCTTAACTACTTTTTCAGCTTTCTTTGGTTTATCATTGATTTCCTTTTTTACCTTGGCTACCAGCCTAGCTTCTTTTACCTCTTGTTTAACAGCTGGCTTCTTATCTTTCTCTACAGGTTCTTTCTTCACTTTTTGCTTTGGAGAGTCCTGTTTCTTGTTGGAAGGTTGTGGCTGAGATGCCTGAGGAGAAAGTTTATCAGGAGATGAGTAATCTAATAGAAGATTCACTTTAGCTGCAGCATTCAAACTGGCTTCTCTTCTTTTCCTTGGGAAAGTCATTGCTGCCATTGCTTCAGTAGTTGCCTTTTTCTTTTTCACATTTTTGATTATCTTTTTAGCTTTTGTGATAGCACCTTTGTTGACCTTTGTAACTGGGATTTTGGCAGTTTTGTTTTTCACTGGTGACTTTTTATTTGATTCTTTAACTTGCATCTTTTGGTCTTTTGGAGCTCCTTTGACCTTTTTGGTGACATCTTTGGTAGTTTTATCAGGTGTCTTTTTAGCAATCTTAGTTTTAGACTTAGGCTCATTTGATTTGATGTTTTTCTCATTTTTCTTCTCAGGAATCACAACCTTGTTTTTGGCACTTGTCTTCTTAAGGTCAGTTTCAGACCTGCCTTTCGTCATGTTTTTTGCAACTTTGATCTTCACATCTTTTCCTATTTTTTTTACCTTTTTTCCAGGTACTTTAACTGCCTTAAGTTTCAAAGTTCCAGCAGCCCCAAGTTTACTCAGATCCATCTTGGGAACCTTCACTTTACAAGGACTAGTCCCTGCAACACTTTTCTGTTTGAGTTTAGTAAATGTCTTTACAGGAGATTTTTCCTTCTTTAGGGAGACAGTAGATCTTTCTCCTTTCTGTACCTTTCCCTTTTTAGGAGGCTTTGGATGCTCTTTCTGGGCCTTGTCCTTTTTAGGAGACAGTGAACCATCTTTCTGGGCCTTGTCCTTTTTAGGAGACAGTGAACCATCTTTCTGGGCCTTGTCTTTTTTAGGAGACAATGAACATTCTTTCTTGGCCTTGTCCTTTTTGGGAGACATTGAACGCTCTTTCTGTAGCTTTTCCTTTTTGCAGTTTACTACTTTTACCTTCAGAGATTTTGTCCCTTTGTCTGCTTTTTTGTCGGATTTCAATTTGTCATTAATAGCCTTATCATTTGGTTTGACTTTCTTTGGCTTTGTGGAATCATCAACTTGACTATTCTTCCTTTTTGTTCCTTTAGTCTGATCTTTAGATGGATTTTTAGTTGCTTTATTAGTTCCAGGAGTCTCTTTTTCACCAGACTTAGCATTTTTCAATGCAGTTTGAACCTCTTTAGTTGGTGGAGCAGCTTTACTAGAGCTGCTTACAAAATCACTGAGTTGCTTTAGTGGGGAATAGGAGGGGTAGAACTGTGATGCTCTCACTGATTCATTGTATGTGATGATCTTTTCAGTGACCACTCTGCTGCCAATGTTGTGGCGTGACTTGTAGAAGTCTGGAGGAAACATGGCGGCCTCTGGTATACTCCTCTTCTGAAAATAAACACTATATCAATAATATGTCACATGGGAAATATATAAGGGGAAATTATTAAGAAAGGAGGAAAGTACCATAATTAATCAATGACCTATTCCATTTTTACTCCACTCTGATGTTTCAACTCAGCCAATACATCAGATTAAAGGGAGAATGTTGCCTAGGTTTCTTCCCAGCACAATCAATTATGTCCACTGATCTCCCCAGGATTTTGTCTCAGGTGGGTGCAAAATTCTCATTTTCTCAATTAAGACCAAAATTGGTCAAATATGCCAATGTTTCATGATTTTTCACATTTTCAAGTGGGTGCAAATGGATTTTCAGGTGGGTGTAAGCCTATTTTCAAAATCTCAGGTGGGTGCTGCGCCCACTTGCTTTAATGCTGGGGAGATCACTGATGTCCCTTTATAATAGCTTATATAATATCTAACATACCTTAGATATATCTTGAGAAAAAATATGGGCACAGTATTGTTGATTAGATTTATTAAGAATATCTATAGAACAACTAAATGTCAATGTCAAAACTGAACACAATTAGTCTAAAGCAACATACAATCATTTGATCTGTATTTTAAACCCTTGAAAGTAATAAATATGACAGCCTTGCGATGGTGACATAAAAATCCAACCCGGTGAAGACTGCCCCTTCTCCCAAATAAGGAACTCATTCTTTCATCAATAAAACCTAAAAAATAAGCAATCAAAATACCACACTACAGTATCATATAGAAAAATACATTCACATATTTTACACACAAAACATTTGTATATCTTGGAGTGTTTTTGGTTTGGCTAATAAAATGTGCGTCCTCTTGAATTTTGATGCTTCTCAGACTTTCATGGTTGAAATGTTTTGTGAATGTATTTTTCCATATGATGTAGTACTGCACAGTGTTGTCTTTTGATTGGTTATCCTTAAGATTTGAATTTCTTTATTGGTGCACAAACATGGATAGTGGGAATATATACTAGACTTTAAGCTATTCAAGCGTTTTCAGAGGGTAATCTGAAACTTGGGCCCTGGAGTTCAGGTTCCAAAAAGTGGGTCTAAGTACTTTAAGAGGAAATCAACAAATTTAATTACACCACTATACATACATGTATACACGTTACAGTACATTGTCTTCTGATTGTATTTAACAAAATGCAACTCCATGACAGTATTCACAGGCTGGTATCGAAAAAATTGTCCGCTGTGACGGAGCGTGCTATTTTGCAAAGAAACACTAGGAAATCCACACAATTTATTTTTTTACTCATATGTTTTGCTATATCAAAGAAAATTACTGACTCCATGCAATGAATATATCATTTGCGGGTAACTTTAACTTCTGTTTGAAGTCCAACAACGCTAAGAGCAAAAGCTATTGAAAACGGCGTCGGAGTATCATACTCCAAATATACCATTTCTTTTATTTCTTTTTAATGGTACAATATAGCGACACGATAATATTTACATATGTTTTCAGCATAACTCTGAAGGTATTAATGAGATCTTTATGTATTAGGTATTTTTAATTTTTTTTATAAAAAATAATGTTTAAATTTTTTGTCCGCTGTGACGGAGCAGTTTCAAATCTGAAATACGATAAGAATTTAGATTTATAATATATCTCTTTATAACTACACGTTAGAGGAGGGAGCGTATCAAATCTCTTTCGTAAAGTATTCTGAAAAATAAAACGGAATAAAAGTACACAATTCAAATTCTGAGATGTATATACGACCACTCTTTAAGCTTCTTTTCTCAGTTTGTACTGTAATCCAAGTTATGCATGGTAACTCATGAAAATGATAGTCAACTTTATTTCAGTATAGGGTATTTGCCTTTCGTTGTGCCTACTGTGGATCCATAACCTGACATGGTCATTTTTTATGGTAACTTATATACAGTAATATTATGTGGTAAAAGGTTATACATCTGTCGGAATGCAGGATGTCTGTGCGCTATTTCGAATAAATTCATATTATCCCTATTTCTGTTACGTGGTAAACACGATACAAAAATATGCCATATTCCGCAACGAATATGCCATATTCACTTGCGGTGTATGACAGATTCACCTGCGGTATATGGCATACACACTAACCAATGAGAACGTGAAACGGAAGTATGTAATTGTCATTCTGATTTATCAGAGTCCCTCTTTACCTAACGTTTTTGAGAGACTCTGATATATCATGAGGCAGAACATGTTCCTAGCCAGTGCATTCTCCAAGTAAATCAGTGTATATGGAGGAATAAATTAGTACCTAAGAATGCACTGTCCTGTTTACCCCTTTGTAAACTTTAATTCAATGAATTCATTATGTGGAAAACTTTTATTTATCTTGATGGTTCTTGTTTTTATATTGAAAATTAATAACTATGATAATGTTGACATACTTCTTTTTTCTTATTGTTTTCCAATTTAGAATTTTAAACAATGATGTATCATACAAATGTTGACACTTAGATTATTTGGGAGGGCATTGTGTTTGGTCACACTCATTAGGCTTTGTCTGCTTATGTAATCATGCAACTGCAGGTAATGCCTTCCCATGATACTCATGGTCAATAGAACTCTGTAAATAATTTGATTGGTCCGTACATTTTAGGGTTAAAGGAAACATTTATTACAGTCAGTAACCCACAGTCTGAACTATTCCAAAAGGATAGTAAAGGCTGTGGATCCCACAATGTGTAATTGTCAATTGCATCGATTGAACGAACAAGTAAAACTTTATAAATTATTATAATGATTACTGAATCAACAGTACAGTTTATCGAATACATCAACGTATGCAGAAGTATCACTCATCAATCTCACGTAATAAACTTACCCAATCAATCCAGGATTCATATATTAGTACTCGACGCACTGACAGTAATGGTAATCCAGCGTAGTTTTACATTCAGAGTCGATTCTCGCAACCAATCAAACCAAGTCTTTCTGTATCACGTTTTTCACCTGCGGAATATGTCATATTCACCTTCTGTATATGGCATATTCCGCAAGTGAGTATGACATATTCTGAAGGTGAGTATCGGGTATTCACTGAATTCAATGCATCACATATTCACTGCGGAATTTCGCATACTCACCTGCGGAATATGCCATATACCGCAGGTGAGTATGGCATATTCACCCGTATCACAAATACCACGCAACCATGAATGTATGACATATTCCGCGTAACAATTTACACTACACGTGATATTCTAAGACGTCTTGGCGAAACGTATTAGAAATATTATGTTGAGTTTACACCATGTTGATTCATGTTGATTTCAGTACAAACCTCTGAAAAATGCTAAGAGTGGTAGTTTTTATATCTCAGATTTACATTACCCCAGATCTCTTAGAGGCTACTTCTCATAATTTAGGAAAGTGATTTGTGACGTTCTCTCTTCTAAGGGTACTTTGAAAAGGTATAATTTGAATCTCAAATTCTTAACGTAGTTCACAGTTAAAACTGCTCCGTCACAGCGGACAAAAAATTTAAACATTATTTTTTATAAAAAATATTAAAAATACCCAATACATCAAGATATCATTAATACCTTCAGAGTTATGCTGAAAACATATGTAAATATTATCGTGTCACTATATTGTACCATTAAAAAGAAATAAAAGAAATGGTACATTTTGGAGTATGATACTCCGACGCCGTTTTCAATAGCTTTTACTCTTAGCGTTGTTGGACTTCAAACAAAAGTTAAAGTTACCCGCAAATGATATACCCATTGCATGGAGTGAGAAACTTTCTTTGGTATAGCGAAACATATGAGTAAAAAAATAAATTGTGTGGGTTTCTTAGTGTTTCTATACAAAATAGTACGCTCCGTCACAGCGGACAAATTTTTCGATACCAGCCTGTGGTATTGGCCAAAAATATCAACCATTAAAACTGAAGTTCCTGTCAGACTATCAGCATAAATTATACTGGTAACAGTGGTCTCTCCAGGAATTTTTTTAACTGGGTGCAAAAATTTTCAAGGCTGAATAGAATTATTGTTGATATCAAACTATCAGAATTATAATCAATTGGTTTTGCAGCCATTCTTTGACCTACTTTATTTCTCTTGACTATTCTCATTGATAAATTTCTTCAATGGCTATAGCACATGCGTCTCGCAATCTGATTGGTCCATTTCCATAAATAAGCACAAATAAGGCGTATCGCATCTGATTTTACACAAGTCAAGTACATTTGCAGTATCATCTATCCAGAATAGCAAGATTGAGAATTGAATTATTTTTTGTCCTTCTGTAGGGTCGGGTGTTATATCGGGCTTGTATGACTGCCAAATCTAAGATAATCATGATAGAGATATGTATTACTTTTTTGAAAAAAATTAATCATGTTTCTGAGATTACTTTCATGACCTCTTTATCCGTCTGCACTGACAAACTAACATTTATATATTTATTTTTTCATTGCAATAATTTGAGAAAGTACACGGTTCCCCAGAAAGAGGTCTTTAAGCATATATAATCTAGGTTAGATCTAAGTGAATTTAGTGAAATCCTCATTCATCACAATGTTCTCACCAGGAAATTTTTAGAACCCAGACCTTTCTAGGTTACAGGACTATTCCTCCCCCATGTCAAGTGAGATCAGAGATATCAATTTAGTATACTTTTCAAAATACTATTTAAGATTATCTTCCTATTTTAATCACAATATATACATTTCTAAAAGATTTCTGTCTTCCTATTCCTTGTTCGTATCCAGTTTTATGAATTTTCTTATGAGTTTTACCACAAATAATGTAACAAAAATGTAAAATTAGACTCCAGAAAAAACACTTTAGACTACGGAGCTACTCTGGTGCAAGATGGTCTAAAGACATTAGACTCTGGGAGAATCTCCGGAGTCTAAAAGCCTAGTGAGAACCCTGCATCAACTGCAGTTATTTTCAAACAAAACTATTTTAACATGATCTGCATGGTTTTTAATGCTTTTTTACACCAAGAGATTCCTCCAAATGCTTGAAAAGTTTCTGGTGAAAAGTGGGTCAAAGCCATCTACAAATTGGAATGTTTATATTCGTTCAGTCCGAAATGACTGGAAAGTTTTTTTGAATGCATCCCTTAAATTTTCACTCGAAAGATTGTAGCGATTTTATTGAGCTACATCAATGAAACTGGCACACTTTGCGTAAAAATTAATTTTTTACAAAGATGAAGATGGACTTCCATTTAGACTCTAAATTAGAGGTTGGATCTGCTGTATTTTCTTTGAAGGTTGTTTAGACCTTACCTTATTCTTCAGCCACAGTAATTTGGCCCCAGGAATTTGGCTATCTGACTCGAGTAATTTAGACCCATCATGGAGTTGAATATTTACAATACAAGGTAAATTGAAAAGATTTGACTATTGGTTCTTCAAACATAATTACGTAATCTGAATTTCAAAAATCTCAAGTTCCAGAAAATTTCGAAAGCCCTAACTGCCTAAAATTAGTGGCTTGGAAAATATCAAAAAATCCTAGCTCGTCTCGGAAAAACGGCGTTACTTACATGCGTAGAACTTCCAAACTCATGGTTCAATTAAACTCAGATTTCACAAAGTTAGAATCTAAGTACTGATCAACAGTATGCATGTTGTCTTACCTCTTTAGAAGCGGGTTCGACTTCATTATCAGCTTCCGAAATTTCATTTTCAGATTTTCCTGAATTTTTGGAGGCCATTTTGTTTGAAGTGACGTCACGAGTCTTGTACTATTCCTACACATTCCATTTTAAAATAATTGTATTTAGTGGCCTTTCTATGTATTCTTCACCAGTTCTACATAAAATGTATATGACTGGGAATGTGAAATTCTAAAAGTCAGTCTATTTTATTCCATTTTACTTGAAAACCACTGATTTGCTGTGCATTTAGACTAAATTTTACACAATGAGTTTTTTTAAGAATATCATCAATTAGATTCATTTTCATTAATCAAATGCAATCTGACAGTACTCTAATAACGAAAGTGAAAGTATTTGGCCGTTGTTAGGATTTCCATAAAACAAATGTCACAATGAATGTCTCCATACCATCCAACCCATATTGATGACGTAATACTCGTAGCCTGCTCTTGTGAAAACCCCAAAATCCCAAATCTTATTTCACATTTATATACCAAATTAACTTGGGTAAAATAAGTATTGCAATTGATTCCTCATATTGATACAAATACATAATAGCCTATAATGCTTTCAAGAAGTAAGACAAAAAACGGCAATGATTTTGTAATTTTTAAAGTACACTGGACAAAACATTCTAAAAATTGCCAAAAATAGGGGTCATTGTAACAACTCCCACTCCGTCGATATTTTATCAATTTCTGTTTTCTTTACATGGAATACATGAAATGAAAGACTCGTATTCACTCCAAATGTTTTCATAAGAATCAATATGATGTAAACACAGCAACGTGCTGCATTAGGGCTTTGAAAAGTTGTGAAAAACACTTCAATAGTTATATACAACCTTTAATTTCATTAAGCAAAAGGGAAATTATGATTTGTTAGTAGAGAGTTAAATTGGGGGAGACAAAATTGCATTTTTTTTCAACAACTTTTGATAAAACTTTATTGGTCACCATCTCTAGCTGTATTATTCAGAATGACAATTATTGCAAGAATAAGTATTTGGAGAGGGGACGGTTTGTGTCAAAGCCAAAATCAATGAAATATAAGATGACAAAATTACAAAACTCTAAAATAAGTGAGTTTCCAAAAAATACTATGGAATAAATAGGTTATTGATGGCCATGATGGGATATGAATTTTTTCCTTGAGAAAATATGATATTTTATGATCTTTCTAATGATGTATCACACTTGCAATTTACTTGATCATTTCTTTTCTTAGGCCAATATCATATTTTCACTTGGAATAAAATTCATATTCCATCCCTCCCATTAAATAACCTTAAAAAAGTGTTGATCACATTTGTATGTGTGCATGTTATTTGCTGATCAATTTGTGCAATCATTGATCACTGTTCATCAGTTATTTCCCTGATTCAATAGATGGCAGAGTAGATGTTGACCAATGTGGAATTTTACTGATAGGAGATTAGACCAAGGGAATCCATCTGTCTGAAATTAATCAGGCAGGATAAAGTGTATGTTTCTTACAAGTGACAGCAAACATTGTTCCTTTGCAATAGCATAGGGCAAAGTTGTACCCTTGTATATTTAACTCTACCAACATTGCTTTAGTGGGTATAACAAATATTTTCACCAAATGACCTCTTTGAAATTATAATAATTATATAATTACAATTTTTGAAATGGGCTCACCACTACCCATATGCATTGTACCATTTCACATAGGAATGATAAGGTCAAAGGTTAAGTTGTTGAATCGGGAACCAAAATATAATGTTTACAATGCATGATGCAATGAAACTTGCAATTCATAAGTTTTGATTAATTGATTATGTTGAGTTTCCATGAGTTTTTTCATATACATTTGGAAATGTAAAAGGATTCAAGAGATCTGATCATACAAGATTCAGTAGTTGAAGATGTAAGATCAAAAATTAATTATTGTGAAACAAAATCTGAACTCTTGGGGACTTTTTCATGAATGGGTATGGTAAAAACACAGTGAGGAAAAAATTCTGTTAAAAAGTGTTGACTATTCAAAAGGTTAGCCTCTACTTATCTGTCCTTTGTTGTATCTTAAATCTGAGCTACTCTATCAAAATCACTTTTCATTGAAATTCTGGACATAAAACAAGTTTAATGTTTCTAATACAATTTGATGCATATATATACATTAAATATCACGGCTGAACAGGAACATGAAGTCTTTTTGGTGGGGCCCACTTATATCTCAACTCCAACCAACCACAATCGAATAACTGAAACTTTTGAGTTTTTAGAATAAAACATAACTCATTGTATTTGTTCAGTATCACTTTATTTACAATGAATTTATTGATACTAGAACCAGCTCTTTTCTGCAGAGCTTTCTAAACATTCAACAATCATCTTCATATTTAACAGGATTTTCTTTTATTATAGCTTTGCTAAAATATACAATTCTAGTATGTTATAAAGTTTTCCTAGTTGACTCATAGTCATTTTCCACTCACACACACAAACATTACACCTATACTTTTATTAAACATTTTTCGTCATTGTACGATACATTATTTAATGCAGTGGAAATTTCATTTCATTCATAATTTACTAAAATATACATTTAGGTATACAAATACATTCTATCATTTCAAAATATGACAATAATTTAGAAATTTTGCCACTTGCGAAAATACTCCCTAATACAATGTTGAATTTAGCAAATATAGACGTTTGATGCAACAGATTCCAGGACTGTCAATAGATGGCGTAAATCTCACTGGGTTTGATTGTATACACTAAATATATAAATATTTTTTCAAAAATCTCAAAACAATGATGGCATTGATAATATCAAAAAACACATTGTACTGAATCTACGAACATATAAGAACATAATTATGACAAGAAAGCTTAGTATTAGTTTCACTCATGTAATGTATTTTAAGTTTGATTACTGTATTAGAGCACTATTTACACACAAACCAATGTGATCATGTGACAGGAAGTGAAGAGGTACCCAGCTGGATCTGCCATCTATACTAGTCACTAAACCCATTGTAGAATATAGGAGCAATGTATGTACATTGCATTATACCATGCATAGGCATACATCAGATAGGCAGATAAATCGGCCATTGATATACATATAGATGCAAATGTATGGCACTTATGAGATGGTTAATGCAATGATTTTGTACATAAATCAGCATTTGTGCAGTTGTTACTTGTACAGATGTAAGTATTAGAGGTGTGCATTGAAGCAATATAAAGTATTTATTTATTAGGGGTTAAAGGGGTACCCCTTGGACTATGTTTAATTAAAAAGTATACTTTAATACCTATATTCTTAATTTGTGCATATTGTAAATGTCTTCAATGATTTTTGGCTCGAGATATGAACAAAAATTATTGAAACATTTACAATGGTATGTAGCGCTTAAACAGGACTTTTTCTCATCTATTTTATTCATTGGCATGATTACGATTTTGACATCTCTTGAACATGTTGTTGCAATAGCTCATTAGGTATACCAATAGAATACTTATATGTAATTGGGTGAATTTACCCTTTGTTAATTTGAATTTGATGTTGTTTTCAGTATATGAATCTATTGACTTATAGCAGTATTTAAATTGATGGGAGGGATCAGGTAAATACTTCATAAGCATAATTGATTACATTTCAGATTGACACCCTCCCTTTTCAAAAAGTCAATATTTCCCTTATTACAGCATAAAACTTCCAAATATCTGTAATTTGATTGGTGTGACGTAAAAAATTGACTTTTTGTGAACCAATCAAGTTGCAGATAACTGCAAGTTAGGGATAGCGGCCAAATGCCAAGAACAAAGTTAATTTCATTGAAAAAGGTAATTTTGATTTTGTCAAATATTATTTTTTGCTCTGGGATTTAAACAGCAAATCATTATTTTCAAGTTTTCTTTATAAAGGGGAGGAGGGGTTAAATCACCATGGAATTAACAATGTTTTTGACAACATTTGGACACCATCGTTTCTGAGTTCGCACAATAAGGGTAACTCTCAAAGTGAGCCATGTGTTACTTAGTTACAGTATGATGTATTGTACAATGCATCCATCAACACTCTTGAATACACATGAAAAGCTAGTTTACATGTGCAGCTTCTTATAAATTTACATGTACAATTTAATAGATACATCTCAAATGAAATCAATAAAAATACAGAACATAAAAATGAAATTGTAAAAAACAATGGTAATATTGTACTTTGCAACATAAAAGTACATGCAATTAAGTTGAACATAAAAATATGTACGTCAAATTTCCCATGCAGTTTAGCAAGGCACGATCAATAATTTTGTTTCAAAAAAGAAATGAATAAAACAACAATTAAAATCAAAAAAATTAGGAAAATTGTATGCTACATCATACATTAATTCATTATTAAACTCAACATATAATAAAAAGAGAGTTGTTTATCAAAAACATACACTTGTACAGTATGTCTGTTTTGCATGAATAAATATAGAGAGTTCTGGACATCTTGTTGGTGGGTAGGGGGCGTTCAGTACATTGAGATACATTTTAAATAAACAGTTATATCTGACCCTGCTTTAATTTTTAGAGATTTAACCAAGAAAATATTTATGTGCCACTTGGTAATCACCTGATTAATAATTAGAACAGTTCTCAAGTCAAATATAAATGTATTTTTAAACAAACTACCTCCTTCAAACTCCTCATTATCCCCACAGGTTATCTTGAAGATAATGTGCTTGATACAATATAATACAATAATGGTCCATTGTATGTAATGTGCCAATGACTATGACTGACACACAAATTCCATAACATTAAACAAATGTGTTCTACAGTACTACAAAAACAACCAGCTTGTCAAAAAAACTGCAAAACACAATTCAATGATTATATTAACAAGTCAAATAAACATCATGTCAACAACAATGTTCTAGCTAGACTATCTCTATAACTCTATAACTGTTTTTTAGATCATGTACATCTCAACTAGGGACCATGCCAAAATGTCAACTTCGTTTTATACAGAAACACATTCATCTTTTTACAATATTCTGTTTGTAAAATGGATATTTTGACATCACCCCTCAGTTCCTGTAAAAGAAATGCCACAGTGGTGATGCTTTAAATAATAATTACGAATGAAAAAAGAGTGAAAAAGAGTGGAAATCGGGTGAAATGAGTAAATTAATGGAACCGGTGGAAATGTTAAGTTTTTGTGAGTGCATATTTCAACTTTTAGAAATGAAATCTACAACTACCTATTTAATTAAATCTTGTGACTGTAGTTCCCTATTAGATACTCAGGGCCACACCCATCCTGCTATATTAAATGTTTCTAGCAAATAAAATGTGTCGATTACTTTTTTCTATATACTGCATGATCCCTTTAGTTCTTCAGGTGAACTCTGTTCAACCGGTATATAATTTCCCTGAACAATGTATTACATCTTTACCTTTAGTTCCTCATCTCCAACCAAATGGTTGTGGACAAGACCAATAGATCTCTAGGAACAAATTTTAGTTTTAACAACTGAGTAAAGAATTAAAATCTTATGTCTCAGGCCAAAAATCTAAATATACTCAAAAAAGTTAAAGACCACTTTTACTTGTTCGCAAATAAAAAGTGGTCCTTAATTTTTTTGAGTAGGCTAGTATATTAACCCCCACCCCAAAGCTAATTGATTTGATTTGATGGAAATTGTTATTCTATGTAAGTTTACATGTTCAACAATGCCCCATGATGAAAAATATCAGTGAATTATTTGCAATTTGTACCTCATAAAACACAAGTGTATCAGCATTTCTCTGGTAATGGCTTCCCACTGAATTTCTCTAAATTCAATGAAGTAACCCATCTTTAAAACACTGTAAAATATTGACTCAATGGTGAGCTTAAACCATGATGTTTTGAAGAGAAGGGTTTTGTTTTTAAGCATATCACAAATTGAGATTTCCATCACTGTCCTATATATTGTACCAGTAACTGGTTTACTTTATGCTTCAGGACAATAGAAACTGTAGAATATCATTTAATTTGGCCACAGTAATTTGGTTAATATGCTAATTCTTAATTCATGAACAAAGATGGCATTATATTTTCAATTGATGGATTTCTGAGAAATTGATGAATATATGAATTGTCATTCTTGTGCAGAATTGGAAAATTGTCAAATTAAAGTGAGTGCCAAATTAAATCAACTTATTATTATCATTATACATTATATTCTACATTTTGTATTCAATTCTTTTCCTCATATTCTGACCACATGGCATTTTGCTTACAGTTTATAAAATAAGCTGCTTTCTTATGAGACTTTACAGATGAGATTTACCCATACATAATTTTACACCTTCAAATAAAACCCCTAGAAACCATATGCGAGACTAGTAGACAAATCGGGTACATTTTTATGAGTTTGCTTTTTATCTGCATCGTTTTTATCTGTTTATTTTTTCTACCTGCAAGACCATGATATACCCCCTCTATACAAGTCTCATATTTTCCTATATAGATTAGAGTGATGTATAATCACTTCTGTTTTTTCATGGACTGAATATTCCATAATGGACTTATAATATAACATGCAAAATGTATGATACACCTGGGATGAGCACCGAAAATAGTATTATTTATACAATAATCAACCCAGATTGTACATTAATCATTTTGCAACAAGTACTATGTACTGTGTATATATATATGGCACCTGTTGATATTCCTGTATGTTATTATATATGGCACTGCCAGGCAGGTGAACTGCACTGTTACACTTAAATAGGCACATGTTGCAATGTAAGAATAAAAACAGCCTCGAATATCTGTATCAAACAGCACTGTAACGCTGGGACGACGCTAGTGTTGTATTTATACCATATATAGAGCTGTGACATCGCTGCGGTCCCTAGGTCCATAGCACTAAGGGGTTCCTATATCTCCACTTTACAAATGTTCAACACTGTATATCACATATAACACAAACCTAGACGGATCAATTTTGACAATGTTGCGTTTCTAGAACAGTGATGCATACTAGCATCGATTGCTACGCAGGTGCCATTATGAATTCGCCTCTAACATTTCTAGGAACAGTTTATGCATTGGGACTTTGCCTTCCTGTTTAATGTTGAACCAGTATTGTTTGGCAAGGATTTTAGCCTGGGTCATTAAAGGTAAAAGCATCAAAAGATTTCCAACACGGCGTACGCTGCCACCGCTCCTGCGCTGCACATACTCAATGAGCGCATCATGATATTTATCCTGTACTTGCTTCACTGCTGGAGCGTTGTCGACATTAGCATCTGAAATGACACAAACACAATGTATGATTTATTGTTAGCTTATCGGGATATAATATAAATGTTCTGATAAATATTAGTGCCCAGTCCATAGCTGACGAGAAATAATCTGCCAATGACAAGATGGGTCACATCAATGTGAACCTTTTTGGGAAAGGAAATGTGATAGAAAAACCAATTGTTTAAAATGAGTCTTACTCTAACATCAAATTTTAAGCATAGACATGAACAACAAATATGGGCACCCAAATATGTATATGACCTCAATAGACACAGTTATGCAACAGAACCAACAGGGGTCATTAACAGAAATATCATCCTTGCTGCTTTTTGTACTGTACTTTGCAATTGTATCACTGTTGTTCCCATTTTTGCCCAATATGATTAAAAAGTACCTAGTACTATGGCTTTGAGTTAAAATGACACATTCATCCATACTTTCTTTAAATGGTACCATAGTTTTGAGTAAATATGACATATAATCCTCACCTCCATTAAACAGTACCATAGTTTTGAGTAAAACATGACAAATAATCCCCGCCTTCATTAAACAGGACCATAGATTTGAGTAAAACATGACACATAATCCTCAACTTCAATGAACAGTACCATAGTTTTGAGTAAAACATAATCTTCACCTTCATTAAACAGTACCATAGTTTTGAGTAAAACATGACAAATAATCCCCGCCTTCATTAAACAGGACCATAGTTTTGAGTAAAACATGACACATAATCTTCATCTTCATTAAACAGTACCATAGTTTTGAGTAAAACATGACACATAATCCTCACCTTCATTAAACAGTACCATAGCTTTGAGTAAAACATATTCATCTTTTGTTATTCCAAGACTCGTCATCTTCTTTGCCATTTTTCTGTTGACTTTATCTAAATCTTGAGGACACACATATTTCTCAGCGTCCTCCTCGGAAATTTGGAAATCATCGGCAAAAACGAGATATCCCTTGTAGGGTGTGGATCGGTAGGCAAGGTTAAGCATGAGGGTATCGCACCATGCGGCTTGCAGTAGGTTCATCTGATCACTCAGGGACAAGTTAGCAAACCCTGGAACGAATAGGTATACATGTATGTACATATGTACTAACAACTGGGTAAATAAGACCCTACCAGGCTAACCCATTTCCAAATCCTGGAACGAATAGGTATACATGTATGTACATATGTACTAACAACTGGGTAAATAAGACCCTACCAGGCTAACCCATTTCCAAATCCTGGAACGAATAGGTATACAAGTATGTGCATTATGTACTAACAACTGGGTAAATAAGACCCTACCAGGCTAACCCATTTCCAAATCCCTCCCCTAATATATGTAGATAATAACCAGTGTGTATATGTGTGTAATATAAGACCCCAATTCCCAATATCTGATTGGACTGAATCACAGCATTCACACAGTGCATGTCCATTAATTATTCTCGAGCAAAATTGAATTGATAGGGGTAATTAATTGATTGATGAACATTAAGTGATGATGTCATAGAGCAATAACATTGTGTGCTATGCACATGTACAGGAGCGATAACCTCAAGCAATCTTTGTTACAATTGATCAATCAGATGTTAAGAACTATGTTCTATGTTAAGTAAACAGTGAACCAAGGATTAATATGGATTATTTTCGTACACCCCATTTGTTGTATTTTCAGGATTTTTTGCTTGCACAATGTCAATTTTTAAGCCAGGAATATATCATGGACATCTTATCTGGGTCACAATCAAGTATTTTCTATTTTCTGAAATAGGGGAACTGCCATTGCACTTGAGCACACCTTTTTATTTGGATTATTTATGACTTGTAGTTTTATTTTTACAACAAACACCTATAGATAACAATTACATGCTATTTAAATATTGATTGCGTTTTGCGAACCTGGGTATGACAAACAAGCTTGAGGTTCAAAGATCATAAAATCAAGGATGTGTATTGACTCTCTGTTACATGTATATCCGATTCATTGCATTAATCACAAATAAAACTCTGTTAATAGCCTTCTCCCATACTAAAACAGATATAAACAAACTGATTGATAACATTTGCCTTTCACAATTTGTACACTTCATTCATGCATAAATTATGTTACACTACAGGCATATCATGGTGGGTGTGCATATTATCACCCACCTGCATTATGGTTTAACAGTTTGTTTTCTCATGCCGTTCAATAAGTGGAGAGTGCACATATTCCTTTCAGACATTTAGTTCTCCTATCGGGACAGTTAATCAAGAAGATACCATATCTATGGAAATGTTGATGTCGATTTGAAAGACTGACACAAAGCATCAAACAACAAGATAGCAGGCAATTTTTAGCCATTGTGAAGGGCAAACAAGGTTACTATTTAACACATTGATTTTCACATATTGTAATTGCAGTTCTCTGCCACAATGTTTTTCTTCCGCTTCTTATATGTTTGGCATTTAAGGGACATGACATCATGATAAGATCAACAAATCATATGGACATGACATCATTTGAAATGTGACTTCTGCTTCCAAAGAAGTGCTATTTTCTAGATCTATTTCAAGGTCACACAAGTGACATGGGCAAAATAATACTTCTCACTATCACTTTCAAAGCAGAGCCTTATTTCTACTATTCCAACTTATCAAAATCGTAGTCTTATATGTTAACTGTGATTCACTTGGAGCAAATAAAGTAAGTTGTAGTGCCTTTAACAAATACTGTATATGTGACCACAATACATTCATATTTTTAATGTAAATGACTCCCTACCCAAATATACTTATTCCTATACTGTAATTTAAGATATGATGTCATGTCCATGTAACCCTCCCTGTATTTTAAATGCATAAAGTGATCCATATGCCAAAGACCTGCATGCCTTGATTAAAGTCAATAAAAGATAAATCAATTAATGTGAGTGTACTCTAAATTGTCAACTGCCTTTCCTCTACTTTCCTTTTATGTCTCTAAACACCTCATTAGCAAAGCTAGTGTAAATATCTTAAGACAGAATGTCATAAAAAAGTCAATAACTTTTTATTTTTGAAATAAGTCACCTTAGTCCACAATTGAGCATAAAATGTATTTTGTCACATATATTTCACAACAATTAATTGACTATAAGACACTATTTATTCAACTTTCAAGGATCTGCTTTCTTAGTTGCCAGATTATGTATTCGCTGCAAGACCTGCTATTACTTTTTGAAGGGAATTAAATGCATGTAAGCAATTTATATACGTTCTGCACCTACATGACTGAAGACCTTGAATTAGTTCATATGCTAGTACTTAGTTATATCTCCACCATTAGCTACAATTGTTAATCTTGAAGTATATTTGATAGAAGACCTTGCAACCCTGGACTCCATAAACCCATCCAGTAAATGGTTTAGAGATCTGATAAAACTGTTTATAAAGAGAAGTATGTCTACTTTTTCAACTCAAGACTACTGATAGCTTGCAGATTTCAACACTCAAACCTTGCATTTTCTGTAATTTGTTTATTTGCACAGTTCAATTTAGGGTTCTTTGATTACCGTTCTTTTGCAATATGAGATAATGTTTCTCCAAATGTTCTGATAATTGGTTCTAACTTGGCCTGAATCTATGACTTTAACATGGCTTTGAGAAATAAATCTGATCTAAAATTATGACCTTGACACTTGAGTGATGCCCATGACCTACAAAGATGCCCTTGACCCAGACTTCAATATTGTTTCTACTAGTGTTGTCGCGATGTGCCATAATCGTACATCGATGCATCAGCAATTTTCAGTAGTAAACATTGATGCACATCGCAATGAACATCGAGAAAAAGTCCGAGAAAAGTGCACTGAAATACCGAACACTAATGCACTAAAATACCGAACATCCGGTACATCCGGGAACTTCAAGTAACGGTGAAATAAAAGTAAAGTAATTTTTTGATTAATGGTTCACTTCGACTAGCTAAAACAGTTTTAAAGCGAAAGAATATCAGAAAATATTGGAAAATGAAATAAGACGTGAGAAAGGTAAGCGATTTGCGTCAAAATAAGATGTGAAAGGGTAATTTTTAGCAAATTATCTTTTTTTAAAACATCGATGTTTTGTTTCAGACATCGATGCATCGCAATAATCAGCTTTGGCGATGTATATCGCGATGTATCGATTAATCGCGACAACACTTGTTTCTACTGGCATTGAGTCTTTTGCAGAATGTAGATAATATTTTAAATAATATTTTAAACCAGGACACTGACCGAAGAGCTCAGTGGGTTATGGGAGCATACATGTACATCACCGGAAAACTTGTTTAGAATATTGATATAGAATCTTGAACAAAAATGTTATTATGTATACACTAACTAATCATAACAAACATTAAACAAATAAACAAGCACATTTATCACAGCTCATGTGCATCACTGGCACAAATTACATGCAGTTGATCTCGTTGTCACCTTGGTAACTAGGATGACAACATTGAAATCATGGATACAGAGTTTGAACGACTGCCTCTCTCAAATAGAATACTTTTAATATGCTGTGATGGTTCATGGACCCCAAAGAATACATGTAGACAGAACCAATTTAGAATCCTTTATTGGGCTAATTAATGTGAGATGATATAAAATGACCTTACAAATTGCATTCAACTCCCTTAATAATTTTGTGTCAGATGCAATGAATACTAATCCCTTGAAACAATGAACATTGCATCCCAAATGTCACGTCAAAATGATATATTGTATTTAAAAATCAATTCAAAGAGAATAACAGCAGTAGCCCAGTAAATATTGAGCCAAATGAATATTTAATTTGTTTATTTGGAATAAATTGTTGATAATGTGTGTATAAAGCTTTGTAACATTAGTACACCTGGGAAAGGGGTGCCATTCTGCAAAATTGGGACCTGAAGATTCACCAAAAATTGGATCTCATATTTCAAAATAGTACTCATTTTCAAACCAGAACAACGGCAACGCCAAAGCGTAGCGAATCCCATCGAACAGCCATGGAAGGCATTTTTACAAACAAAGTATATAGCAAAAATGGCAGGCATTTTTCAAAATGGCCGCCTTCTACCAAAAGTGTCATTAGACCATTTGCCATACTTATAGTATTCACAAACCAAATATGAACAAAATCGCTCCACTACTTTTCGAGTTATAGTAAAATATGTTAAAATGGCGGCCATTTTTCAAAATGGCCGCCTTCTACCAAAAGTGTCATTAGACAGTGTGCCATGCTTACAGTATTCACATGCCAAATATGAACAAAATCGCTTCACTACTTTTCGAATTATTATAAAATACATTAAAATGGCGGCCATTTTTCAAAATTTTTTTCAAAATGGCCACTTTCTACTAAAAGTGTCATAAGATATTGTGTCATGCTTTTAGTATTCACATACCAAATATGAACAAAATCGCTCCACTACTTTTCGAGTTATAGTTAAATACGTTAAAATGTCATTAGAATGTGTGCCATCCCTATAGTATTCACATACCAAATATGAACAAAATCGCTTCACTACTTTTCGAGTTATAGTAAAATAGGTTAAAATGGCGGCCATTTTTCAAAATGGCGGCCATTTTTTAAAATGGCCACTTTCTACCAAAAGTGTCTTTAGACAGTGTGCAATGTTTATAGTATTCACATACCAAATATGAACAAAATCGCTCCACTACTTTTCGAGTTACAGCAAAAATCGTAAAATAACGAGTAAAGGCCGCCATTTTTCACGATGGCTGCCATGTGCTTCTTTAATATCTACATTTCTAGCTTTATTAATGTCCTATATCATTTTTTTACATCCAAAACATATTGCTATTACAGTTTTACATATTGCACCTACATTACTGTAAATTCGGCACTAAAATGGCCGCCATTTTGAAATGAGCGGCCATTTTGAAAATCGGCTTTCGAGCAGAACTTCTACCCCCATAGGGTATATGTGTACAAAATATGAACAAAATCGGGCCAACGGTATTTGAGTTATTGCCCGGACGGACGTACGTACGGATGGACGGACGGACAGACGGACGGATGGACGGACGGACGGACGGACGGACGGAGGCGTTCCCTATATCCCTCCGAACTTCGTTCGATGAGATAATTAAGAAGGATGAAGTAATTTTACAAAACTTTGGGCCATGCTTTTCAATTTCCAGGTATACAGATTGCAGATTAACTTCTAATGAATTGAAACTAACCTGGTACTTGCTTTGCCCATCCAATAGTGACCACCAGCTCTCTATCAGCCAGGTCAGATAGTGTGGACATGAACTTCAGCTCTCCAATGGTCTGTGTTGGGTCAGGCATTGCATACACCTTTTCTGGTTCAATGCGGAGTAGCTCTGTCAGCATCTTGTTCTCTCCTGGAAACATAGCATCTCTATATGAGGTTTTTGTGTCTGACACACTGGAGGTTTACATAACCCACAACACATTGTTATTTAAACACTCCGCGTTTATATATCCCATAATGCATTGTTGTGGTTATACTAGGGGTTTAAATATCCCACAATACATTGTTACTTGCAAACTGTAGGTTTACATATTCCAAAATTCCAAGCTACAATGGGACTGGCACTCTGGAGGTGAGGGGGGTTATACATATATAAAAGCCTGAATTTAAATTCTATTGTCACACAGACACCAGAGGAATATATATCCCAGCAGACATCTCAATATTAGCCTATTGGTATTTGCAGTGAACTGTGTTGATATAGTACCTGTATACAATGAACACTGTATATTTTATACAGAATTCAGTGGAGTATGTGCTGAGAAGAGGTGTTCACTAACTAAGACAGGTTTTACTATATTCCTAATCTTAAGTGGTAAAAAATCATCTCATAGGTCAATCATTCAATAAACTTTTTTAAAACATGTTTTGAGTGAAGTAGCGAACAACCTTCGACATTGACTATACCCTTGGCTAAACCAATCAGATATTTTACCATATCTGGTGAATTAGTTTAATGACTTTGCCAATAATAGGAAAAGGAAATGACTATGGTGATTGAATCTGTCTGGGGGTACTGTTTCTCTGTTGGTTACAAAAATAGCAAATGATTCATTTTGATTAAATATCCCATGAATAATACTGAAGATTACATTAACTGGAACAGAACACAATATTCTGTCAGAAATGACTTGTTTTGAACATATTTAGCATTAGGCTATTGACAGGTTACCAGGAATTGTTTGATGATATAAATTACCCAATAATTGTAAGTGACTCATGAAAACAATTCTACTGCATACTCCAGCTGCAGACATAAAACCAAATTGATGCCTAAGACTTCAGTTTAAGACGAATTGAGTATCTGCTGGAGAAAATAGAGTTCACTGTTTGTGAGAGTGAATGTTTGTTTTACTTACCTTTGAAACCTTTGTATCACTTAATAGTACATGCTAGTTACACATTTACATCAGCCAGCAATCAATGAGTGGCAATTACCCTGAATCAAGATCATCTATCCTCTGACTATTATATATGATTTACAGTATCAATGCTGAAGATTTCAATCTGAGGTGTAGCTTTTATGGTCTTTTCTGGGAGTTTGAATTTGAAAAAAAAAATTCACACTTTAAAAAAGGAATGCTGATTTCTGAAAACTGGTACGATTGGATACACTCGTTGACCAGTTTGATTTTCAACCACAACCACACTGATACCAATGGACCATTTTCCAATCCGAAAAAAGCATCTGATTGGTGCACGGGATTCAATGTGTGCCAATCAGATGATTTGTTTGATCTATCTAGGATCTTATTGTATTTATTCTATTATGATTTAGAGAAAACTTTATACCTTGGTAATCCAAGATGATGATTGGATATAAGGCTATACTTCAAAACATTATTGCATAATCTTAAGAGAATGAATAGAGTCTTACTCTTGAAAAGGGTCGATAAAACACCCATGTAGAACTAGAAACAGCATGAAGGTTTAAAATAGGATTATTATTGATCATCATTGTTGTTTTTCAATCATCAAAGATGTTTTTCGCTGCATGTCCTTTACATACTACAGGGTGTTCAAAAAGTATAGAAAATGGAGAAATTTATTTTAGATAATGTAATTAGCTTTAACTTTTTTTATAATTAACCATGATACATAGATGTTTTTAACAAACAAATTGAATCAATAGAGCAAAAGTATATATAGCCATACAGATGTATACCTCCAACAAAAGAAGCCCTTTGATCAAAATCTTACCTTTAAATTCAAAACATGGTTTCTTAGCTTGGTTCTGATGCATCATGATAGTTGTAGGGTCACAGCGGCGGTACTTTTGGCGACCTCCACGGACACGGTCTAGTCTTACACCTGCAAAACATAATACATTTTCTTTAATTTCAGGAGTTTTTCGATAGAACTTTTCCTCAATAAGGGAAATCAAAAAAGAACAGGCTGAAAATGAAGTTTAGTTATATGTACATGTATGGTCCAAACGTTTGATTAAAACAGGTGAATATGTCTCTCGACTGGAGAAGTCCTGTGAGGCTACACCTAAGAAATCACAAAATTGAATCTAATCAAAAACAGTAATTGCATCGTTCCTACCTCCTAAATGATCCTAAAGCCCTTCAATAGTATCATACGTGGATATGTATCCTAAATATGATATCCACAAGTGGAAACTTCACATTTATTAAAATATGTATATATAGTAGCATACTTTAAGTTCATATCATAAATTCTTGCATATCACATGAGTATTCTCTCCAATGCATTTTATGAATTTCAAAATGTATGCCCTATGCACCTAACCTGTATTCAAGTTCCAACTAACTTTTGTAAAGGAGCATGACTACTATACAAGATGAATATTTAAACTATAATGGAATATGTTAGAATGTAGCAATTACTAGATATAGTATATCAATGTGACCTTGACCTCTTTTACTAGAAGTCAATAATCGAGTTGATGTCAATTGATGAACCCTTATACTATCGATGATATGGAATGAAAAAACTTTGGAACTTAATGGAACAATAGATACTGTATAAGTGGTATTTAATCCGAGTGGTTATTTGCCGAATGGTGAAATATTTAAATTTCCTAATTTTAATTTCCGAGCCTGTTAAAAATTAGGCAATAGGCAAATTAAATGATTAGGCAAAATTACCACTTATACAGTATACCTTCCGAACGGAACAGCTCCGGCCGCTGTACGGTTGCTGTCGATCAAATGTGACTAAGGCATTGCCTCCACTACCAGCCAGTGGCCATCATAATAGCCATGTTATAAATAAAGGTTTCTCTTAACTTAAATCCTTTTAAGAAGCTAAAAACTAAAAAAAATTGGAGTATATAGTTATATTTTTAGAAACTTCAGTCAAATGAATTCTAAAAGGATACTTGCATCCCGGGAATAAAACAAATACACAATGATTAAATAACATTGCATTGTCAGCTGTCAGATTTGAACTGTTTGTACCAAATCAATCAAACATTAATGGAAATAGTTCAGTCTGACCTTGTTTATAGGTACTTTCAAAAATAACTTTTAGGATCCTAAGGAGTCAAATAAAGGTGAAATCTGCCAATACTGATTTTTTTTACTGGAGAACATATTTTTTCCTGCAATCTTATTTTCTATTCAATTGTGCTATAATCAGATCTTTAAATGAAATTTTTAAAAAATTGTGAAAGTATAGAAGTACCTTTAGATGTCATGACACAGTATCATGCAATCCATAGGGTATTAGAATATAGTTTAGAACTGTATCAATCCAGTGAATTTATTTTGATGACTTGTACTAGTTTATGGACAAATCAATGAAAATCATAGTTCAGAGACAAAAGACATGCTTTATAATATTTTTTAAAGAATGGATAAGACGTTTAAAAGAGAGTCCCAATATAAGAAAGCAGCCTTGCAGAAATGTTATACAAATCTTTTATTACAAGGTTTTTAAATAATTGGAGGCTTGATTAAATCCCAATAATAAAAGGATTGTTCTGGGTTCTGTTATGTGATACTGTATAAAAGTAGATTTATATACAAGGTTTTAACATACAAAATGTCACCACCTGCCATTTGTTATAGAGAGTGAACACCAATTGCCAAACACTGACTACCAAATACTAACTGCCAACACAAAAAGTTGGGGACTATAACAATATGTCACGCTTGTGGTGATAGCATAAAAATGCAGCTTTTCTTTGTGTGTGAAATTAGAGTTGATTGTAAACATGATAAACAGTGCAATTTTAATTTTTGTGTCAGGGGAGTTTTTTATATCAAATCCAATCATAGAACACTTAAAAATTCTGTGTCCTTACACTTAAACCCGGTTAATAATCAGGTTTAAACAGATTATACCCAAGGACATTGTAGTGAATAGAATTATAAAATTGAGTGTTAGGCATTGGTAGAATGGGTTCTGGTGGAACACCCTTCATATCTTACGATGCAGTTATTTCCTTCTGTCCGGGCTACTACAATGAAAACATTTGGTGAGAAATAAATAAAATCTACAATAGATATATCTACATAGGTAACCTTATACACTGAGATGTTAAACTATGTTTGTTTAAATGTTGTCTGATGTTCATAAACTGCAATTTTATCAATAAATCTTTATTTCTCAAATAACAAGAAACTTTCAGCAAGAAATTCTAGACCCTGTTTATACTTAAATTTCAAGTTTATTGCCTTTCATTCAGAAGTCAATATATTGGAAGAAACTTGTTTTGAACATATTCATAAAAGTGCAAGGAGCGCTGATTGACTAAAGTAAGCACAAAAATATAAAGGGAAGCCTTTTAACTTGTACACATCTGTTCGATGAACATATCTGGACAATGGACACCTCTGTACAATGAACACCTCCGTTACCTGAACACTTTCAAGGGCTCAAATAACTCACTCGAAAACTAACAACCCGAAGTCTCACAGGTTTTATGTTCTAATCTGCTATTAGTGTAACCCTTGTAAATGTATAATTAGAGGTTGATTATTAATTTGTTATGTGTTGTCACGATTTGCAATACAGTAAAACCTGTGTATATTGAACATTTTTTGCCAAGAAAAAACGTTCAGTGTTGATGGGCCTTCATTCCAGAGAGGGTAATTTATATTATATATAAAAGTCAATAGAGTATGTGCAGAGACAGGTGTTCATTAAAGAGAAGTGTTAACTAAGACAGATTTTACTGTACACTGATGAATCTGCAATTTTCTGAGGTAAACATCAAATTTTGATTGAATTTCTGAATGCATCAGAAAGCAATTCATCAGCTTCCAGTCTTTGATGTACAAAAAATGTAGAAATTCAATACTGATTGCATCATATTAATAGTCTAAATTACTTTTCAAGTGAAAGCACATCAGAAAACATATGGAAAGTAACAACAAAATTAGAGAGATAAAACATCAATGTGAAAACAACACAGGAAAAGGTGAATTATTGACTTCATCTTTTCCAAAGCAATGCTGCTTTGTTTCAAACATGGATAACATCATCAGGATCATTTTAGTTGATGTATAGATTAATCATTATCTTGACAATATTCCCAAACACATAATAAATTTGTAAGGGCCTCTAGTCTAAGTTGTTTATCATTGTGAGCTAATGTAGTGTGGCTTACATGACATACTCTGGTACATGATTTTTTTCATGCAATTCATGTTTGTAGCTTACATCATCATCATGACATCATCTCTGCCCTATGAAGTAGTCTTAACACACACAGCTATTTCCACCTTTGGGAGACAATGGGCTCACAGGTACTGAACTATAAATGTTGAAGAGTTGCCACCCCAAGAATAGGTGTATCTATGAGTATGGGCTGTTCAAGAGACCCCATGGTGTATTTAACATCCAACAATATGTCACCACTTTTTGGTGGTAGCATGAAAAGATGACAGCATCCAAGCAGCAACCAAGAGAGGCTTCTCCCTTGAGCTTGAGACAGATCACAGGGGTCATAGGGAACACCTTCAACATCAACCAGAGAGCCGCCTCCCTTGAAGAGGATATGGAGGAATCAAAATAAACGCCTTCAGTTTGACCTTTTTCTCCCAATGTCATTTTTATTTGGATCATACAATTATAAACATGATTATTACTTCATCAAGTATTAATAATGATAGCAGACTAACATAAGGCCAACCATGACATACCAAACAATCTTTGTAACAAACAGACTAAAACACAATTATTCACAACCATCCTTGAAAGGGCCTTGAAGAAAGGTTAACTTGTCCTTTTATACATACATATTCACCTTATTATCTTTCAATGAGACTAGACTATATAAATGCAAATATATACTGTAGTAAATACAGGGTCTAATATGTGTATATACGGCCTATCATTATCATATCACTATTATTTGCACTAATAATCAGTGTCAAACACAATCATAGATGCTCATTTCTAATATTTAAATGTTGTCCCCTCAAGGACATGTCTGTAAAACTAATGACATACAGGATATCACTACTGCGTCACTTATACATCACGATTTAAAAAACTCAAAATATGGAACTTTTTCTTATAAATATGCATTAATATTTTTTATGACTTTTGTATGACCTTGTGTCTTTGATATGAGTAAGCGATCAGTATAAACAATTTCCTGATATCACTATAGAAGTTATTTGATTTTGCTTGCCCTTCATCAGTTTTAAAGGTCACAGGCTAACACTACTGATGTAGCATGTGTTGTTACACTTGTTTCCATCTTATACATACCTGTGCCTCTCTTACATCCTCCCTGGGTTACAATCCTATTTTATCTTGTATTATTCCACACTAATAATCCAGTAAATGTGTGTGATAATTTGAAAAGCACTCAGTGTTTATCCTATGCTGTTTTGCAGTTAACAATAACAATGACTAACAATGACCTCTTCATCAAGTCAACTATCATCATCAGTTATACTGACCTTCATAACATAATATCTTGTGTTGTATGACTATTTCATTCACTGAAAGATGGACTGTGCCGTTCTTCAGACTTACAAATGTGTGTTTTGATTCTCTGCTTCAGTACAAAGTTCCTAGTGAAGGTTAAAACAGACCGTAAGTACAACTGTTCCAATTATTGGCTTAGTCTACATCTAGGACACTTATATCAACAAGCTTTATGACTAGTACTACTATCGATTTCAATTTGAGGCCTCTGAAGGTTCATAAATATCTAAGACATTCATTCAGGATGATATGACAATTGAAAGAAATTGTGTTTTCTAGTTAAATATAAATATCAGGTGCACTTTGACTCCATAATTCTTCACCACATATCTAGGTGTTTATGAGATATCATAATAGTGTTTGGTTACAGGGCTTTGAACACATTCATTTAAAATAAT